TAGGAAGCTGAGATGAAATAGAAGAATTATGTGTCCCTCAGTAAGGGTACGTAGGCAGCCTGAAGCTACAAGGTGCATCCACGAGTGGAGTCCTTGAGATTGCTAATATACTATGGATGTTCTAAAAGTTAGAATAAGTTCCAGTTGATAGAATGATTTACTTGAATTACTAAGCCCTAGGGGTAGAATGATATGATGTTTGATTTTCTTGGGTATACTTTAATACATGCTGAATGTTTGGGATATATAAATGTTTGTTGACAGGTGGAAATTTTGGGAATTTTCATTTACAGGGGAAATGTTCAATTTATATATCAATTTTGGAATATATAAATTTTCGACAGAAGCCAAACTCGAAATAAATTGAATTTTGAATAGAAGGGCAATTAGGTCATTTGTGCCCAGCACCCGTCAGATGTCGGACACGCACAGGGTTCAGCTCGGATTCCAAAGTGAAGTTTGGGTTGGGTCCTGTCAAAAAATGAATATTCTTTAGGTCAAATAATTGTGCTAATTAAATCCTATTTAATTACCCAATTATCCTGATTTAAGATAGGAATATCTCCCTAAATCAAGGATCCGATTTACACCAAATCTCCTTGATATTATCTTGTCATCTCATTTAAGGAAAAAATAATACAAAATTAGTGAAATACCAATTCCTAGACATGAAACTATAAATATACCCTATACCATTTAAAGTATAGAAACACACCCAAAATGTCGATTTTTTAAATTTAATAGCAATGTTGAATTATTGTTTTGCCCTTTTGCCCAAAATAAACCATGCTCCAAGGCTCAATTAAGATAATCGACGATTGCTCCTTCAAAATCTCGAAGCTGGTTTGTGAGAAATCGACGAGCGGCCAATTTAACTAACCTCACCGTCGGAGCCGCAGCTCTAATTTTCATTGCTTTCTGGATCTCTCACTTGCTTTCTCACAGATCTTGCGGCTATTTCCAGATCTCATAGTTCAATCTCTCGCATCTTAGTCACAAGCAAGGTCGTTTTACAACTCAGGAGGTGGACTCGGGTCCTGATCCATGAGGCCAACTCTTTCCTCCACCGACAATGATGCGTTGCAGAGGCCTTTTCTCCGTTCGATGTGATCATCGAATCGAAGATCATCAACGACCATGAGACCGAGAGGTCCAGGGGCTTCGGCTTCGTCACTTTCAACAACGAGAAGGCCATAAGTGATGCGATCGAAGGCATAAACTGCTAGAACCTCAACGGCAGTAAATCCTCGTATATGAGGCCCAATCTCGTGGAAGCGGCGGTGGTGGCGGCAGTAACGGATGTTACAGCCGCGGAGGATATGGCGGCGTTGGCTATGAGGTGGCGGCGTTAGCTACTGAGGTGGCAGTCATCGTGAAGGCGGTGGGGATAGCGTCTCGATGACAATTCGGTATAGACCACTTAGGTAATTTGTATTTGATATTCATTTGAGTTTTGAATTGTGATTTTATTTTTTATTATATATAATTTGGATTGATTTCAGATTCGGTTTGGTTGTGAATTTGATCTTGTGTTTTGGTTTGAGCTCATGTGGTTAAAAATCTATGATATTGGATTGGGTTTTCATATTAATTGAGGTATCCTTTTTCAATTTAATCTGAGTGTATTCGTTCTGGAGGGTTGGGTTAGTACTTGGAATTTCTGAGTTGGATTAGGTTTTAGCTTAGTTGAATTAATTTTTTTTTAATATCAAGGATTTACAACTCTTCCAAGGTTGTTTTGTGAGTTGACTGCAATTTTTATTGTAGACTTACTTTGCAGCTACACTGTTGTGAAAGATGGGCTTTTTCAAAATAGAAAAATAGAAAAACTAATTGCCATATGCCCTGGACCATACTAAATACCTTTGAGTCTTAGTTCTCTGCTTTTTTGCCTTAAGAAGCCGCAGGCTTGTTTAATTTATGTTTACTTTTAGTCAAGAGCAGCTCAAAAATTTTAGATTGACATTTCATGTGGTCAAGGTCTTTGGGTCCTAGACTAATGTGCTTTCAGAAGCTATGTGCTAGAGTGAGGTTACATTAGTCTAGATGTAATGAAGTAACACTTACAGTTAGTAGAAAACAATATCTAAAGCTTACTTTCAGAAGCTATGTGCTAAAATGAGGTTATGCGAGTCAGTTCTAACTTTCTAACTATGTGTTGTGCTCTCTGTTGTTTATGGAATCCAATCTATGCATGATGCCTAGGGATTTTCGTCTTTTATGTTGTTGTGATCATAAGTTCAATACAAAAGACCCCACTTTGAATCTCAAGAAAACTCCCTAGATGGATCTTCATATCTCAAAAGAAACGCTTTAACTGTCTAGAAAACGGGAAATGCTCCAACAGTAACACTTTTTCATTGCTGATGCCTTTTGATGTTAGTTTCATTGATACATGAAACAATTACTAGTTCTGTTCAATTATAATTATCAAGTTTACAACGCTTTTATACCGGTCTCATTCTGTAATGTAACATGTTGGTACAACTTCTGATGGGTTGGGTTGGGTCTATAATTAATATTTGAACTCTATTTCACATAGGCAAATTCGGGAAAGAAGATCCGAACTTTATTGAAGAAAGAATCGATTACAAAGATGTATTTGTTTGGTTACTCACTCTGTTTAGTTGATCAACTTTAATCTCAAGTGAAAGAAGGTGCCCATAGCCATTGCCGGGCCATTCACATCATGATACCATTCACTATCACTCAGGTAATGAAGGTAACACTTTCAGTTAATAGAAAACAGTCTCTAAAGCTTACTTTCAAAAGCTATGAAGCTTGTTGAAGTTGTTAGGACTTTCTTAGTCACTAAGGTTAGACTTCCTTGTTTTCAGGTCTAATACTTACGTAGCTGTTAATAATTCTTGTTTCTAAGAACAAGTATTGTTGCACGTTCAGTTTAAAGTCTAGTCATATACCTCGATTCTAGGTGCCGTAAAATCGTGGGTTGTTACATTTCCATTCAGTTACTTTGTAAGGCTTTTAAAGGCAATTGCCATCTTTGAATTCAATAAGAAATTCTTCTTGCAAAACAAGTGCTATCAAACTTTCTCTTACTCAGTTTCTTGTAGATTTTCTGGTTCCAACAAAGCTGTGCTATAGTGAGGTAGCTGGTTTACGAACATGGGGTTTTTGCAGTTGTTCACTTTTATCGTACATATTATGCAAAGGAAATGATGTAGTTGTTAACTTCCAGTAAGTGGTGTGAATTGTTCATATCATGAAACTGAGTTGATTTCTATGACATAGTATTAACAGTGTACTTCTATGACATAATGAGTATCTTACTAATTTTCTATAATATTAATAGATATTTTTAGTAACAAAGCATGATCCATATTTTGATCTATATATAGCTATGCACTTGAAGTTTATAATATGCAGAATGTGATTTTTACTAGAAAGGTAGTTCTATAATATAATATTAACAGTGTACTTCTATGACATAATATGAGTATTTTATTCATTTTCTATAATATTAACAGATTTTTCAATAACAAAGCATGCTCTATATTTTGTTCTATATATAGTTGTGCACTTGAAGTTTATGATATGCAAAATGTGATTTTTACTAGGAAGATAGTTTTATAACATAGTATTAACAGTGTACTTCTATGACATAGTATTAACAGTGTACTTTTTTTTTCTTTTCTTGTAGAGGTATTTCCTTTTGTCTTTGCTATTATTTCTAGTGAAACTATGGACAATTGAAGGTGGTTTTCTGCACATGATATCGGATGTCTTGCTGGGTTTTTTTTAAAAGTTTTTTTATATGAAATGGTATTAACAATGTTTTCTATAAAATGGTATTAACAATGTTTTTTATGAAATTGTGTTAACAATGTACTTCTATGACATGATATTAACAATGTACGTCTATGACATGATATTAACAATGTACTTCTATGAAATGGTATTAATAATGTTTTTTATGAAATTGTATTAACAATGTACTTCTATGACATTATATTAACAATGTACATCTATGACATGGTATTAACAATGTACTTCTATAAAATGGTTTGCAGAGATTCGGTGAAGAAGGAAGGGTTTTGAGGACATGCCTTTGGCTTTTGTGATTCTTTTTAAAGTTAAGATTTTTTTAAAATCTGAGCTAGGCTTGTTGGGCTTGTTTTGGGGTTTTTTTTTGTGTCTTTTGTATTGAGCTTGTTTTAAGTTAATCAATGACAGATATGTAATATATAGGAAGTTCAACACTTATTTGTTATGTACTAAATGTTTTTGGGTATGTTTATAAAGTGAATTCCATATTTTAGGTTTTTTTTTATAAAATTGGGTTATTTTGGGTTGTTTTTGGGTTTTTTTTTTTTTTTTTTTTTTTTTTTTTTTTTTTTTTGTTGTCTTTATAGTGACAGTGTTGTGATTTATTGGAACGTCAACACTAATTTGTTATTTAATAATGGGTTTTGGGTGTGTTTATAAAGTGTTTTCCATGTATGTTTTTTTTATAATAATTTCAACCCTTATTTTGGGTATATTAGTGAAGCTCCTAAAAAATAATTCATATAAATAGGGAATTATTCTTCACAAACTTTACTAAAGATAGAGGCTCTATATAAAGATTGCATCTCACCACAAATGAGGTAATTCCAAAAATCCTAGCAAAGCTCACGCTACTCTCTTTCTCTCTCCCTTTCTCATGGCTTCGCAGTCATCTCCTTTCCCAACGCACGTGCCTCCTCCTTTCACATAGAGGAAAGATCCATACTCTCAGTTCAATCTGCATCTCCTTGAGACCATTTTATTGATTTAGGCATCAGAGGGCCTTTGGCCAACACCCCTCGGGTGTTCTGTCCTGACAGCATTTATTTTGTAGAATTCAAGGAAGAAGAAGATCAAGATAGAAGAGAGGATCATCCATGAATATTCTCCTCAAAATTTATTTGTGCAAACAAATTGGTGCTTTCATTAATATTCTGAACTAAGGAAATCCATTTCCAACTTTTCATCATTCATCCGAAGCTTTTCGAACAACCATGGCTAGAAGCGTAATCGCGAGGATCAAGGCCACTACGACGCATTGGTCCGGACCATTACCAAGGGACAACATCGAACCCACCTTGAGGTGTAGGCCTGAGCCCACCTCACAATCTAGTAGCCGAAGCCACCGCTCCTCTTCATGGCCTTAGGTCGAGGCTAACTTCCCATCTCACCGCCCCATGGCCGTGAGCACAGCTCCAACACACGGCCTCATGGCCGAGACCATGGCTCCACCTTATGCCCACACAGTGGAGCTTAGAAATTACCATCACTGCCTGTTAATGTATGGTTTTTTGTTATTTTCTTTTGGCTTCTCTTGACAACTTTGTAATAGGATGTGTATTGTTATTTATCAAGCTCAAGTTTAGATTAAGGAAAACCTTTCTTGGTGTTCTTCTCTAATTTCTACTCTATGGAGGTTCAAGCAAGTTGATAAACGTATTGTGCATTGCATATCATGACATTAAACAGTCTTCATAAAATGATGACTAGTCATCCGTTTCTCAGATGACTAGTCATCCTTGCTCTGTAGGATTTCCAGCTGGATAACAAACTGTTTTGTCATATTCTTCTTTCTCTCTCTTTGCTGCCATGTGGGTTTCTGACCTAAGGAATTTTTTGGTCTGTAAAGGCTACGATTTTGGTCATTTGGCGGTTGTCTCTTTTGGGTGGAAGTTTTGAAAAGTTTGGCTTGCCATCTTTCGCTTCTTCTTCCTCGAGAGAACCATCTTATTTTCATCTATGAGTTTTTCCAATTGATTTCTTTTTGAAAAACTGCATTTGAAACACGAATCTGCATCTAGCTACTTAAATCATTCTCTCATTTATATCTAGGTCAGATTCAAGACTGATTTCTTCAAGAGTATGGTTTCTTGAAGAAATTGGTCATTCTCCTTTGAATCCAAATTTTGGTTTCGATTTGTGTTGGAGCTTGCAAGCTAGTGCCATGGGATGAACGAGCTGGAGAATGAGCTGCCATTGCCATGAAGAACTGACCTTCAAGCTTTGCTAAGTTGGAGAAGAAAATTGCACAAAGGAGGTATATCTCATCTTCCTAAATAGATCTAGGTTTTTCTTGAGCTTGCTTGTGTTCCTTTGTAAGAATCTTTTTCTACTTAGTGGATTGCCTGGTCGGTTGATGACCCCCAGTTTTTCCCAATGGTGGGTTTCTGGGTGAACAATTTTTGGTTTCCAACTCTGTAAATTTTCTGGGTTTGTGTTCTTGATAGTTGACTAGTCATCTGGGTTTGTGCGGTTGACTAGTCATCTTTTTCTGTTGTTTGGTGTTTGCTTGATTATGCTGTTTTCACACACTTTCACCATAGTTGTTGCTAGCACAGGGGATGTCTAGATTGACGGGTCCTTCTGAGTGCCTAGGTTGTCACTAGTAATTCTCTAGGCTTGCAGGTACATCTTTGTATGCTCTGTGTATGTTATTGTTTGGTATAATTCATATATGACAGTTGACTAGTCATAAGAGTATTTGGTCAAGGTCTAGAGTGTGAAGTTTGCTGCGTTCTTGGTTGAATATCTTTTCAATTTACCCCTCGTCACCTAAGTACCAATTTCAATTGGTATCAGAGCACCAGCTCTTGACATAAATAGAGAGATCCTTTGGGTGCTAATTGGTATTAGGTGTGTAAACATAAAAATGGATCAAATTGCTTCTTGCATTCATGATGAACTTGCCTTGTTTGTTCAGAAATATAGAAGGGTTGTCAAAGATAAAACCAAAGTCACTAGGAATTGTCAAAATCTTCTTAGTTTGTCTACATGTGTGTCTCAAGACAATGTTTTTAAGGAGATGTATTTTTTGAACTCTTATGGCATTAGGGAGGACAAAAGTTTGAAGGGTCTTGTAAACTACTATCTATGTGGTGGTGCTAGTCACATTGATGTGGAATGTGCAAATAACCACATGATAGAGTCTAATGGGAGAGAAGAGTCAATTAGTGCACAATGGAGTGATAATGATAGTGATGATTCCAATAACTATATCACTTCATCTTTGGAAGAGGCAAAATTTTTTGCCCTTGTTGGTTCTATTCATAACTCTAGCCTTGCTAGAGTTCATGTAGTTAAGGAAGGAAAAACTGATTCAGGAAATCAATCTGTGTCTAGAGATGATAAACAGGATGACCAGTCATACAAGGAACAGGATGACCAGTCATACTTGGGTATATGTGAAAAGTATGATGTCCTTTTTACTGAAACTTCCAACCTTAAGGAAAGAAATTTCTTACTTGAAAGGAAGGTAAAGAACCTGGAAATTCTTAATTTCACTTTTAAAGAAGCAAATAATGAATTGAGTGAAAATGTTGAGACCTTGGAGAGTGAAAGGGATTCATTGATTCTCATTAAAAATGACATTTCAAACCAATTGAATGTGCTCAAGGAAAACAACTTGGTTTTCCAAGCCTCCAACAAGAATTTGTTGACTCAGATAAATGAGGCAAATGACACGGTGATCAAGCTTATTATAGGGGCTAAAAAGGTGGATAAAATGTTGAATATGGGTAAGGTTCATGGAGACAAAACAACTTTTGGTTATGGTTGTTCTAGTTTATGTGTTCCTCCTCCTTTGACCACATTGGTCAAGGAGTCAAATACAAAGTTTGATGTTTTAGAGCCAACTAGGACTCAAAGATTCATCCTACTTGTTACCATTGTGGTGTGAAAGGTCACATTCGACCTAGGTGTAATGCTCTAAGGAATGTGTCTAGAACAACCAATGCAAATGACTTTAAGAACCATGTTTCATCTCTTAAAACATGTGAGCTTGCAAAATCTGTTATTTGTACAAGAGAGAAACATTCTTCACTTGCAAAATTTGGTTTTCAACAACCAAAAAGGTTCATTCCTATATGCCATCATTGTGGCACATTAGGACACATTAGACCAAAGTGTTTTGAACTTAGGAATTTTGAGCAAAAGCCTTTTGTTTCATTTCAAGAAAGTAAATGATGACTTACTTCAAACTCAAGTGAATGATCTTCTTTATAAAGTTGTCAAAATTCCTAAGGTGATCTCTTTGCCTCATAAAGTCTCAAAAGTGAAGCAAGTTTGGATCAAGAAGGAAGACCATGTTCTTTCTCATGTTGGTGACTAGTTTCTTTATCTTATGTATCTAGACCATTCTCTTGTTTGTGTGTGCTTCATGGAGTCTAGATACATTGTCATGCATTTGCACCTTATTCTTTTGTTTGATTGGGATTCATTTGTTTAATTTTTTTTTAAATGTGGTCATTGCATGCATGTCTTTCAATCATCTCTCTCACAGTGCTTGAATCTTGGGTGATCAACAAAATTTCATGTTCTTTTGAACTTGTTCACATTTATCTTGTTGGTATTATCCAAACCTTTTCCCTTGGTGGCAAGGAATACAACCTAGCCATTGTAGACGATTTCTTTGGGTTTATTTGGGTCTCATTCTTGCTTGAAAAATCAGAAACCTTTCAAAGGTTTAAATATGTCTGCCACCTTTTACAAAAAATTAAGATGACTAGTCATCTGCCTCTTGTTAGAATTACAACGAATCATGGTTATGAGTTTGAGAATTCTCAGTTTATGAAATTCTATGAGGAGATGGGAATTAAGCATGAGTTCTCTGTATCTACTACACCTCAGCAAAATGTTGTTGTGGAGAGAAAAAAATTAGAGTTCTTGTTGAGATGGCTAGGGTGATGCTCAACAACAAAAATTTTGCTTAACATTTGTGGACTGAAGCTGTAAATACAGCTTGTTACATCTTAAACAGGTGTTTTTGTGGTCTTTTATCTCCTATGCTTGAGGGAGAATCTCCAGCTATGTATCTAGTGGTTGACCTGTCAACTTTTAGCAAACCGATTGCCCTGTCAACTTTTGACAATTATGTTCCAGTTGACCTGTCAACTTGTCATAATCCCTCATAATCTCAGCTCATCTGTTCCTGTTGAAAATTCTCTATGGAAGCATGATAGGAAGCCTTCTCTACTTGATTGCAAGTAGACCTGTCATTTCTTATAGTATAGGAGTTTGTGCTAGGTTCCAAAGTGATCCCAAAGAGTCTCATTTGTTTGCTGTCAAAAGAATCATAAAATATGTGAGTAGAACTTTTGCGTTTGGGTTATGGTATATCTATGACACTTGTCTCAATCTTGTTGGGTATAGTGATGCCAACAGGGCAGGTTGTAGTGATGGTAGGAAAAGCACTTCCGGGGGGGTCTTTTATGAAGGTAACAACCTAGTTGCTTGGCATAGCAAAAAATAGAAATCTATCTCTTTATCCACTACCGAAGCAAAGTATGTTGCAGCTGGGAGTTGATGCACTCAACTCCTTTGGATGAGACAAATGTTGGAAGACTATGGTCTTACTCAATCATGCTTTCTAATCTATTGTGACAACACGAGTGCTGTAGATATTTCTAAAAATCCTGTTCAACACTCTAGGACTAAGCATATAGACATTAGGCACCATTTTATTAGAGATCTTGTGGGAAGACAAAATTCTATCTTTGGAATTTGTTCCCTCTGAGAAACAGCTAGCAAATATACTCATCAAGGCCTTGGACTTTCAGAAACATGTCACACTTAGGTAGTCCATTAGCCTTTGCTCAATTGATTGATTAACTTGTCTGTTCCTTATCTTCAGCACATTGCAGAACTGTTGACTAGTCATCTTCGTTTTAGTTGACTAGTCAAATATAAATTTTTGTTTACTTGGTGTGCAAATGTCAAAAACATCTGTTTCTTCTGATCTCTGATGATGTGAAGTTTGAATCATTTTATGCTTTGCCTGATTTGTGCATAATTCCCCCCTTCTAGTTTAGAGCCATTAGATGAAATTTTTTTGGTGTTTTTTCGTCCTCTTGGTGAGACAAGTGTTGTGATCCATTGTGGACAATCATTGTTATAATCTCCTATCTTATCTCACTCTCTTAGGCAATTTGTTTAAATTAAAACAAAAAACAAAAAAAAACAAAAAAAAAGAAGAAGGGGGAAGTGTGACCAATGTAGTCACGACTCTAGGAAGGTATAAGGTGATATGATTGAAGAATCTAGAGCAAGAGCCGCAAAATTGGGCCACTCAAGCACTTAAGTCTGGGATGTGCAAATAAGAAACATAATAAATGGCCACTTTGAGTGATGAAATTCAAATAGGTTGAGTCTATGCTTTGAGTTTGTCTTGAAGGTACATTATATACTTGTCTCTCCAAGAGTGATATTTCTTCATCTCTTGTGTTTTTCTTTTGGCTCTGAACCTCCTCTGTCCATCTTGCCTTATCTCTGAGCATGAAATCTAATTCATATTCTATCCATCAGAGTTAGTTGCAATTGTTTTGTTTGCACATGTGGTTATCTTCTCTCTTTCTTACTTACTGTGCTTGAAGACTTGGACTAGGCTATAGTAGCTAATACATCGTTGATCACTTGATATATTTGCTAGTTCATGTTCGTGTTTTTTAAAACCAAAATCATGTCATCTTCAAGGTCGATACTAAAATTGATGCTTGTTATGATATTGCCTGAGTTCACTAGTCAACATGTGCTCATGCTGATTGTGGTTGACTAGTCATCCACTTATGCTTGTTATGATATTGTCTTCGTTGACTAGTCAACTTATGCTCCCACTGATTATGATTGACTAGTCATCTGCTTAATAGGGTTCTTGTGCCTTTTGGTGAAATTAATTTTCACTCTCTAAGAAAGACCATTGGTTATGAAACAAAGCACAAAGGCTCACTTGTCTTCTCCTTGTCTCATTTACACCTTCTGTTCGAACATTGGTATTGTGTTTATGCATGATCATGTTTGGATGATGCCACTTTGGTCTATGACCAATCATCTTGGTGTGTTCCCACATTCAATGATTTAGCCTAACATAATTCTTGAAATCCTTAAGAATCTGCCTTGCTATATGACTTTTGGATTGTTGACTAATTTATTTTGTTGGGGGAGTTTCTTTGAGATGCATGTGTTTTGACAACATTCTGCTGGTTGTTTTTATCATTTTCATACATCAATGTTGCCTTTCTAAGCCTTATCTTGATTGATTTGCTCTCTTTTGTTCTTGCCTGTGTCTATGAGGTTGTTGGTCTTTTGATGCCACCTCAAATTTGGACATGCGTGACTAGTCCGTTTCACTAGTCCACTCTCTTCTTCTTATGCTTTTTTGGAAGCTATGTTGTGTTTTTGGACAACCTAAAGACTTATGTCTTCTGTTCTTTCTCACATGTCCTTAATCTTGAGCAAAAATTTAGGGTTCATCTTGCTTGGTGCTTTCTTCAAATTGACAATGATTGATGCCTTAAATTTTGAAATCTTAGTGCTCTGTCTTGATTTTGCACCATGGTATGTAAAGAAAAATTCATTGGTTGTCCCTTGTTTTGATAAATATATTACTTAAACTTTATATTTTTAGGGGAGTTTCTTTATGTGTAATGTGTACACATTGAAATTAAATTCAGCCACTTGATTTTAATTGCTTTAGGTATGATTCCTTGCAACTTGTGCTCCATTTCTTATTCTATTTAGCCTAATGCACTTTTGTGTTTGTTGGCTATGTATGGAAAGTTTGTTGGATTAGTACGTCAAAAGTTAATTCCTTTATATTAGAGGAAGTGTCCTAGATAGGGGGAGTATTTTTTGGACAGTTTGGGTGGTACATTTTTGTAATCACATTGTGGGGATCATTTTTCTTAGGTAGTCCGTGCAATTTGATAGGGGGAGTTGTTTTGTACTGTTTTGAACAAGTGTTATTTGACCAGTCATCAATCTATGTTATGTGCTGTTAACCTTGTTCATATCTGCCTATCTTCTTTGTGGTTAAAACCCTTGTATGCTGTCTCTATCTCTCTGCCTTTTTGCACTTTCCTTATCAACAAGGGGGAGAACACTCTCAACCCCACATTGCATATTGTTTTAAAAATTATGTGATAATATGCTTGTTTTTGTGCTTGGGAGATTGGTTGTTCTTGCAGGTACCTTCACTTCTTCATCTCCTTAGGCTGGGTTTTGGGTTGAGTGTTTTTAGAGAGTATGTTGTCAAGGAAAGCCAAAAAGGGGGAGATTGTTAATGTATGGTTTTTTTGTTATTTTCTTTTGGCTTCCCTTGACAACTTTGTAATAGGATGTGTATTGTTATTTATCAAGCTCAAGTTTAGATTAAGGAAAACCTTTCTTGGTGTTCTTCTCTAATTTCTACTCTATGGAGGTTCAAGAAAGTTGATATACGTATTGTGCATTGCATATCATGACATTAAACAGTCTTCATAAAATGATTACTAGTCATCCGTTTCTCAGATGACTAGTCATCCTTGCTCTGTAGGATTTCCAGCTGGATAACAAACTGTTTTGTCATATTCTTCTTTCTCTCTCTCTGCTGCCATGTGGGTTTCTGACCTAAGGAATTTTTTGGTCTGTAAAGGCTACGATTTTGGTCATTTGGCGGTTGTCTCTTTTGGGTGGAAGTTTTGAAAAGTTTGGCTTGCCATCTTTCGCTTCTTCTTCCTCGAGAGAACCATCTTATTTTCATCTATGAGTTTTTCCAATTGATTTCTTTTTGAAAAACTGCATTTGAAACACGAATCTGCATCTAGCTACTTAAATCATTCTCTCATTTATATCTAGGTCAGATTCAAGACTGATTTCTTCAAGAGTATGGTTTCTTGAAGAAATTGGTCATTCTCCTTTGAATCCAAATTTTGGTTTCGAATTGTGTTGGAGCTTGCAAGCTAGTGCCATGGGATGAACGAGCTGGAGAATGAGCTGCCATTGCCATGAAGAACTGACCTTCAAGCTTTGCTAAGTTGGAGAAGAAGATTGCACAAAGGAGGTATAGCTCATCTTCCTAAATAGATCTAGGTTTTTCTTGAGCTTGCTTGTGTTCCTTTGTAAGAATCTTTTTCTACTTAGTGGATTGCCTGGTCGATTGATGACCCCCAGTTTTTCCCAATGGTGGGTTTCTGGGTGAACAATTTCTGGTTTCCAACTCTGTAAATTTTCTGGGTTTGTGTTCTTGATAGTTGACTAGTCATCTGGGTTTGTGCGGTTGACTAGTCATCTTTTTCTGCTGTTTGGTGTTTGCTTGATTATGCTGTTTTCACACACTTTCACCATAGTTGTTGCTAGCACAGGGGAAGCCTAGATTGACGGGTCCTTTTGAGTGCCTAGGTTGTCACTAGTAATTCTCTAGGCTTGCAGGTACATCTTTGTATGCTGTGTATGTTATTGTTTGGTATAATTCATATATGACAGTTGACTAGTCATAAGAGTATTTGGTCAAGGTCTAGAGTGTGAAGTTTGCTGCGTTCTTGGTTGAATATCTTTTCAATTTACCCCTCGTCACCTAAGTACCAATTTCACTGCCCCACAGTCCGATCTGGAGTTCACCTCCATAGTGGCACCGCTACACTCAGTGGTACCCTCACTCATGCCAATCTTGCTGCTGTCACCAAATAGAGCCCCATCTTGGAACAAATATTGTTCCCTTATTTCCTCAAAGCTTGACATTCGTGGTTCATTGGCACAGCTCCAACGATGGGCGAACGCACCGATAGAGGACACGAGAGGTCTCAATTAGGTCAAGTAAGAATTACATGCAAGGATGAGGACAATAAAAAAAGTACCAGCATGCTGGCATGTCACAAGCATCCACGAGTCACGACAAAGTAGGTCGAGTATCTGTTCGTGATTAGGCCCGCAAACCAATGTCCACTTAATGTTGGGGGCATAGTTCGATGTCCATGCCCGCTTGGGCCCTCAAAGAAGTGTTCATTTGAGGTTAGGCCAACCAGGAGACCAGCCCATAGCCCACTTCATGGAGAGGTGAGGGAGTATGCTCACTGACTCACATCGAAAGGGTAAATTCTAGGCTACGTGCCACAAAAAATACTTCACAAGCTCAATCCACTAATACATTACACTGATAGGGCAGCCGAGGAGAACTACACTTTTTAGCCAATGAGGAGGTTGACTAATGACTCCAACGCCATAGAAGCCCTCAACAAGAAGCGCAAGCGTTGTGAGTGTAGGACGTTGAGAAGCTTGTGAATGATCAACTATGGGACTTAAAAGTCTAAGGAGACTTGGAAGACACCCTGCGTAAAGAGGCAAACTGGGTTAATTCCTTGTCATTCATTGATGAGATTAAGGAAGTAGGTCCACCAAGGCGATTCGTGCACCTACCTTCATACCATTCAAAGGGGATTCTGATCCCAAAAGCCATCTTAAGAAGTTTAGGAGTATCATGATAATCTATAAAGGCGACGATACACTTCGGAACAATCTCAACAAATGATTTCGTCGGCATGTTTCGTGACCATAACCTCATCGTCACAGCAAACATGTCGGTTGTGATATTATAATGGATATTTATACAGCAGTGTGATGATGGTGGGTAATTCTTCATCGGATGATGATGTTGCTTGCTTGGTTTCTCCATCAAAGGATGGTGGTGGTGGTTTGGTTTCTCAGTTTTGTCCTAAATATTTTTTAACTCATTTTTAATAAACTAAGGCCTCGTTTCTCATGAATTATTATTTTAGCATGGACTATACTTAGGGACTGTCCTCAATTGGCTAGGCTTGGTTTAGGCTAAATAAGACTTATCTGGTGTTTGATGTAATGCCAGACTAATAAGCTGGATAATGTTAAAATAACATAAATAATAATGTATCATTTCAATTTTTAATTTTTCACTAAAATGCATCAATCAACCAAAATGTTTTTGTCTTATTTATTTATTTATTATTAATATCTTATCCAAAAAAAAAGATATACTAAAAAATTAAAATAATATTACCTAAAATTATCTTAAACCAAAAAAATTAAAACAAACCCAACCATCGGTTATAAAACAAAAAATAAAAAAAATCACCACCCCATTAAGCCCAACCCCAATTACTCTCACGTTCCCATCCATCCTCATTCTCCTCTTTTTTTTTCCTTCTCACTCACTCACTCTCTCTCTCTCTCTCTCTCTCTCATGGTTGGTGGTGGTGTGATGGTTTGATTTTGTGTGTGTACTACAGTTTCAAGGTTATATAGAGTTATATTTGAATTGACATAACGGGTGGGATGGAGTTCAATTGGGTATGGATGGTGGTATCACAGGTGTAGATAGAGTTTGACTGCGTGGTGGTGACAGTGGGGTTTGGGGCATATGCAGGCTTATTTGTCGCTCCCCCCATAAGGAGTTGTTTTTGGTGGGGCCGACATTAGCAATCCCCATTTAAAACTATAATCAAGTGAAAACAAACATAGGTTAAAATTGTATCCAAGCCAATTCGAACTTATCTGGTGTAAGGATAAGAAAAAGAGAGAAAGAGAGAGAGAGTTTAACTGTCCAATTCTTTCTATGGTTCATATTTAAAACCAACTTTAATAACAACTCTTGCTCTTCTCCAACCCACTATGCACCGTCCTCATCCCTCATCCCTCATCGCCTCTCTCTCTCTCTCTCTCTCTCTCTCTCTCTCTCTCTCTCTCACAGACCCAAAACCCCCTCCTCCACCCAAAGTCACACCCCACCCACCTTCCAAACCCCACCTTCATTTATTGGCATCCAGAGTATGACCTAGACTTCGAAGTTGAATTCAAGGTTTTTTTTTCTTTATCATGCTTTAAACATTTAATTTTACTTCAAAAAAACAAAACCTACCTTAATTTAGACATGGAATAGCATGTTGACCCTTCACAACTTCAAAATTGCTGCTGCAAGCTTCCAGCGTTATTTGCATATAATTTGCAACTCTTTAAACCAAATGCCCCACAAAGCATTACTTTGGGCTTTGTACCGTCATGACTTTTATTTAAAATTATTACATTTGTTAGAAGAGCACAAATGTGAGTCACCACTTCTACAATTTATCATTATTTTATTTCATGCCTTTCTCCTTCTTCATTTATCATTACTTTATTGATTGCTTATTTTACTGAACACAAAAGACATATCGGATGGAATGAAATCATGCAATATATGTCAAATTTCCACGTAAGTCATCAAATTTTAATTTAATGTTTTATATTTAATCTAAGAGCATCTCAAAGGGAGATGTCAAATACCAAACATCAAATTTAAATTTGATGGCGGATGTGGCAATTTGACATCTTACACAGCTTTACACTCCAGCCGATATGTCAAATTAAATTCTTATTTTATTACATTTTGGTGTTGATTTATTTTTAATTAAAAGAAAAGAAAAGAAAAAATAATAAAATATTCATTTGACATCTTGCTTTTGGGATGTCAAAAATAACATCTCAACCTCTAGCCTTCATTCCACATCAACTTTGACACATTGGTTGGAGTAATGTGAGATGTTATTTCTAGCTGTTAAATGTCTATGTAGCACTTTTGACACATCGGTTAGAGATACTTTTTTACAACTCAAGCAAGAAGCCTTTGTCACAAAGGAGGACCTACATAATTCAAGAAAAACTTATTTACAACATGGATAGCACTGTTTTACTATCCCCGCCCTATAATATTATGCTTACTATCCCTGCCCTATAATGTTATGCCGTGTAGAAGTGTTAACACGCGTGTCACAATGTCAAAGCGTTATTGACCGAGGATAGAAAAATAATGTTTTCCCAGTTTCAAGGCTAGAAGTGATTGTGCCCCAATTTTCAGAAACTCTTTTACGTTTTATATAAAACTTGACAATTTGTGTGCAATTTATATATTAAAAAATTGTCAGCTATTGCTGCCCCTTAAATATATAGGCTCTAGTTCAGCCATTGCTTCTTCAGTAGTCACGTTCTCAAGTAATCATTGCACTATCCCGTTAATTTTCTTATACCAGAGATTGTGGTTTATAATTGAAAGTAAATTAAATCAGGACACTAAATGCACTACTACATTTTAATACGTGCGCGTCGACACAAACTTTGTCACGCAAATCATTCTTGCGTGAAGAAAACAGACAATCGTAGCGCAAAATTTTCCAGATAATAATTTATAATTGAAAACTTATGCGATGAATATTTTCGTCACGCAAAAACTATTAGCGCCACCAAAATCATGACCGTCGCGCAAAGTTGGGAAGAAATACCCGCGTTTATTTCGGGTGGCGCCAAAACCTTGCGCGATGACAAATATCGTCGCAAAAGGAACCCGAGCGCAACGGTAGACATTATCGTCGCGCAAAGTGAGGCGGAAAAGTGCAGGTTATAGTTTTTAGCGCCAAAAACTTGCACGACGACAAGTGTCGTCCCAAAAGAAGACTTAGCACGATGCAAATATACGTAGTCGCGTAAGAAAACGTTGGATTTTTTTATTTGGCGCCAAATGTTTGTGCGACGGAAAGATTTGTCGTCGCGTAAAGTTCGATGTCGGCACGTCTTTGCGCGACAAAATTTTCCATTTGCACGACGAGAATTGTAGTTGGCGCGACAACATTTTGCTCGACGAACCCTTATTCGTCGCGCAAAATCCTTCTTCTTATAATATGTTTTCTGCCATTGCAGAGGCAGACTTGAAAAAAAAATCTCTACCTACACCATTCTGCTGTGCTTCTGCTGGGAGTTCATTGGGTAAGCATTATTTGTTGTCATTAGTTTAAAAGTATTTATGTAAATTTATACTAACGCTATTAATTTCGTTTTTTTAGGGATATTTGTAATTAGCGATTGGTGGAGAAAGCTTGAGAAGGTATTTTATTCGCTTTATACTTTAAGAATATAAAATTAATTACATTATGTTAAACTTAGTTTGTTATGTTAAATTTTTTTTTGTGATATTATATTTATACTATGCTTTTAAATTGTGTGTGACGTAATACAATGTGTTGTGATGTACGAAGTTAATTGAAATTAACTTCATACTTTTATTATTATTTTTAGTAACACTTACTTTCCTGTTCGAGATTAGTTGGATTTCGTGCATGGATGCGTAAAGCATGACTGCAGTCCAATTAATTCTTGAATTGTCTCATTATTTGGACAGTTTGGTAATGCATAGTGTTGTCATGTAATCTACAGCTACAGGATTAGATTTCAATTGTGGAGATTTCGGTGTCATTTCGATACGTTCTTCGGGTGGTACGTAGGTATTTATACCTTTGCCCACCTCAAGAACTGTATCGAGATGCTGCCGAAATTTATCCATGTCGAAATCTAATCTCATAAAGCCATAGGTTACGTGACAGGACTATGCATTCCTGAATGGGATAGGACTCTTACCGGAGGCATAAGGTGACATTATAACTTCGAATGAAGTTGTTGTGATTGTTGTGTTGTGATTGTGGTTTTAGGAATTATGAGCAGAATGTGGATACAGAACCCGAATAGATGCGCAGACGAATACTTGGATGGAATCGAGGATTTTATTGAGTTTGCACGTAGACACAACCCGGGTGCAACTAGAATCTGTTGTCATTGTAGGAGGTGTAACAACATGTTGTGGGAGACAATTGAAAATGTTGGATTTCATTTAGTAAGGAATGGAATGATTGAGACATATAGCATTTGGAACCTTCACAGAGAACAATTAGACAATGCTTCGTCTTCAAATGCTACAAGAGTGGACAATGTTGAACATATTGTGGATCCTAATGAACAAGTCATGGATATTATAAATGATGTTTTTCCATTTGCATCGACCAACATCAATTAGGAAGGGGAAGATGACGTGCCTACCCTAATAGAGAGTGCAGAGTTCGAACAATATGAACAACTGTTAAAAAATGCCAACCAAGAGTTATACCCGGGTTGCAAGAGCTTTTCCGTTCTCACGGCCATTGTGGAGCTAATGCATGGAAAAATAAAGTATCGTATGTCGAACCTGTGTTTCGATTACTTTTTAGGGGCTTTCAAGAGAATGTTTCCGACGGATAATTGCTTGCCGAAAGACCATAGACACGCGCAAAAGGTGTTGAATGGTCTTGGATTGGGTTATGAAAAAATTCACGCTTGCAAAAACAATTGCATGTTATTCTACAAAGAGTATGAAACATTAAATACATGCCCTATATGCAATGAGTCGAGGTTCAAAATGACATCTCAGAATAGAATAACTAAGATCCCACAAAAAGTCATGCGTTATTTGCCCCTGAAACCTAGGCTGCAGCGATTATATATGTCGACACATACTGCCACAGACATGAGATGACACAAGAAAAAAAGGGTAGACGACGATGTGATGCGTCATCCTGCAGATGGGGAGGCATGGAAAGCGTTCAATCGAACGTTCCCCGAGTTTGCTGCTGATCCCCGAAATGTTAGATTGAGACTTGCAACTGACGGATTCAATCCGTATGGGGTTCTAAACCAACACCACAACACTTGGCCGATTTTCGTATTCCCATATAATTTACCGCCTTGGAAATGCATGAAAAAAGAGTACATGATGATGACAGTTTTGATAATTGAGGATCCTGGCAGGTCAATTGATGTTTATTTAAGGCCGTTGGTGGATGAGCTCAAGGATTTATGGACAAACGGTGTGCGCATGTACGATAAATCCACTGGGAAGATGTTCACTCTACGGGCAGCAGTTATGTGGACTGTGAATGATTTTCCCGCATATGTAATGATTTCTGGGTGGAGCACAAAGGGTTATATGGCATGTCTTGTATACAAGGAAGATGTAACTTCTGGTTGGCACGCTGGAAAAGTTTGTTACCTTGGTCATCGGAGATGGTTACCATGGGACCACGAGTGGCGGGGAAAGGATAAAGAGTTCGACAGGAACACAGAGCGTCCCCTCAAACCTAGAGAATGGTCCGGTGATGAGATCTTGGAGCAGCTTAACCGTTTGGATTTTGCTCCGTTCGGGAAAACAGTTAGTCGGACCAAACCTTCTACACATTTGAACTGGATGCTCTATGTTCTTTGAGCTCCCATATTGGTCGAAACTAAAATTGAGGCACAATCTCGACGTTATGCATGTTGAGAAAAATGTGTTTGACACATTGATGGGTACGATTCTAGATATCGAGGGCAAGACAGAGGACATCATCAAAGCTCATCTTGATTTGGAAAGAATGGGCATACGAAGGGGATTATGGATGAATAGGGACAATGATAAAGCTAGAAGGGATCTTGCATTTTTTTTTCCATGAAACCGAATGACAAAAAATATTTTCTAAAGTTTGTATCGTCTGTAAAGTTTCCCGATGGGTATGCTCATAATATCACATGTTGCGTAAATGTTGACGGGGGTAAATTTGCTGGACTAAAGAGCCATGACTGCCATGTATTTATGCAACGCCTACTTCCTGTGGGTATTCGACATCTATTGCCGGAAGATGTAGTCAAACCAATCACGTTGTTGTCCAGATTTTTTTCCCAACTGACTGTAAAAACGTTGCGAAAGCCAGACATTCATCGGTTGCACCATGACATTGTCCAAGTCCTATGCAAGTTTGAAATGATATTCCCTCCAGCGTTCCTCATAAGTATGATCCACGTGATGGTTCACTTGCAAAAAAAGGCATTGCTTGCTGGTCCTGTCAACTATCGTTGGATGTATCCAATAGCAAGGTATATAATCCTCATAATTTGTTTATGCATCCTTATCCCACGCTTGCTAATTTGTATCGTATCGTTTTTTTTTTGTAAGCTTCTCGGAGAGCTGAAAAAAAAACTGTACACAATAGGGCGAAGCCCGAAGGCTCAATTATAGAGGCTTGGATTCAATATGAGTCGTTGACTTTCTATAGAATGTATTTAAAATATGTGGAGACGGCTTTCAATCGACCTCAGCGCAATAATGATTGAGGTGTGAGAAATGAGAAACTTTCTATTTTTGCCCAAAGCGCACGACCCTTTGGAGATCCTGCACGAGGAGAGTCGCTTTCCAGAAATGACATGGAGGTAGCGCATTGGTTCGTACTGAACAATTGTGATGAGATAATGGCATACTTAGATGAGCATGAAGAGATGATAAAGCAAGAACATCCATCACATTTGGTTGCCAATAAACACCGTGAATTGTTTCCACAATGGTTTTTGGAATATGTAAATTATAAGTGTTTTGCATTTGACATATATATTGTAGTATTCAATTTTCTCAAACTAACATGTGAATGTTTTTGTATAATATTAGGTGAATAAATTGAAATCATCGAATTCCCCCACTTACAGTGAAGAGTTATAGAACTTGGCATTCGGGCCGATTCGCACTGAATTGTTCTCAGGTTGTCATGTTAACGGTGTCAAGTTTTTGGGGACTGCACGAGATGACAAGATGTGTACGTAAAACAGCGGTGTCCATGTCCCAGGTGGAGGCGAAAGTACGGACATTGATTTCTATGGCAAACTCACAACTGTCGTGCAATTGCTTTACAAAGACCGATACCAAGTGATCATGTTTAAGTGTTGATGGTTTGATACAAACCCAAATAGGCAAGGAAGTGTTAAAATCGACCATGGCTTACTATTTGTGAACATTAACATAACTTGGTATGATGACGACCCTTACATTTTAGCAAATATGGCAACACAGATTGTGTATCTAGATGACCCTAAAGCCGGGAATGGTTGGAAGGTTGTTCAGAAGATGGATCAACGGAACGTGTATGCTATACTAGAACTGGACCCAACTGACAACGACGTCGACAACATTGCTGATCAACGTTTGGAATCTTCTATGGAAAATGATGCAGAAACACTTCGAGATACAAATGTTATACAAGAATCGTTTTAGCTTCAAGGAGTGTCTTCAATCGAAATACCGATTCAGTCAATTACAATTGACCTCGGTAACCTTCGGCGATACGATGTTCCAATGGGCCCGAACTACGAAAGTGATGAGGAGGAGGATTGGCAGACCGAAAGTGATGATAGCGACTATAACAAAAGTTATTATAGTTCAGATGATTAAAAAAAATTGTAATTTATTTGCAACTTGCATTTATCAACTCAATTTTTTGTTTCTTCTTTTGTTTATTTGGATATTTTGGTGTGCATATTGGAAAAAAAAAATTGAATTGATAAATGCTTAATTAACAAATTTGCCGTTTTTATTATAATGTGATTAATGCTATGTCTCAGTTTAACTGTTTCACTTATGGAATTAATGGGTTTTATTCCGTTCAGTCATTCAAAATTTCATGAGAGAGCTCTTACATGTTAGATTATTATTTTTTAGTTTGGTTGGTAATAATTTTAGTAAAATGATGTCCTAATCTATGATAAGGAAATTCGACGGGCAAATTGCACTCATATCTACCGTGAGATGATGTTAATCACAATTCACAATAACAATATACTGATCGAAATGTTTTCCAAGCTTATAGAATAGTTAAAAAATTGCTTTCTTGGAAAAAAGAAAAGTACAAAACGATATTGGGAAAGGAGGTTATATCGAAACTTCACTATATATGTTATCATTCATTTATATGTAATGAAAATTTGTGCTTGGACTAGAAGAGTTATAAAAGTTGTTCTTCCAATTATGATGCCAATTTGCTCCCAAAATATATATATATATATATTCATAGCAACGAAAATTTGCTTTTGGAATGTAACTTATAATCACATAATTTTTTTAATTACACATAATTACAATTGTCACCCATAAAACCCCAACATATACTTCAAGAAACACTTATGTTTAGAGGAGAATCATTCATTACAAGTTAGTTGGGAATACTCCAACAATGTTATATTCTAATCCAAATTCATTGGTAATATTATAAACAAAACATGCTTTCAAAACTTAGCAAATTAGATTAGTGTATATTTTTCTTTATTTTCATATAGATGCTAGCCTATTTGTTGTATTATTATAATATTTTATGGTCTAAACATGCTAGACTAGTCAAAGGCATCTTAAATTTTTTTATATAAAAGGTTTAGGGTGGGTTTGCGCAACGAAAGAGGGGCTCCTGCGTCGCACAAGTTGCGACCATAGGTTTTGCGCTACGTAATTGTTATTGGTCGCGCAGTTTTGTGCGATGCAACATGCGTTCTTCGTTGCTCAAGGTACCCAAAAATTAATTAGGCCTTAATATTTCATTTTTATGTTTTGCGCGACGTTAATATTCTTCGTCGCGCAAGATCTGAAATATTGCCTTGCGCGATGAAGAGAGTTTCCTTCGTCGCTCAAGGTGCCAAAAATTTTTGCCGGTCTAATTCTTTAGGGTTTAGGTATTGCACGACAGAAATTTTCTTGGTCGCGCAAGGTCCCAAAATAGTAAATATTTAGGGTTTTTTTGCTCGACGTAATGATAAGTCCATAAATATACTCATTTATGTACTCTTTTTACTTAGGTTTTGTAGGAGAATTAGATTTAAAAAAGGCTTATTACTTTACTTTTCTGATTTTCAGCTTTTCTGCGCTCTTAGAAGGTTTCTAAGGAAAAATCAACTTTTGGAGGAATTTTAGCACAAGGCCAATTGGAGATGAAAGCTAACATCTTGAAGTTGAATCTGTGATTTTTCTAGAATTTTCTACCAAGCCAATTGGTACAGTATTACAAGTAAAGTTAGCCCAAGTGCAGACAAGACAGTTTCGTACATGTTACTTGAATGTGAAGAAACGGAAGCCTTTCCGAATTTTCCAAGTTACATGCTATATATGGTTGGAAAGATAAGACATTTATTTTTCTAAAATATATTTTTAATGATTTTTCTACAAGGCCGAAGATAACCAAATCGTGTGACAATTGGGCTGAGCTGTATTTCCCTGTGGAGTTAGGAATTGTGATTTTTACTTTCCTATTTGGATTCCTTGTTTACCAAGACTTCTTGGACGACTCTCAGTCAATTTTAGGGTTTATAACTTTGATATAAGTGATATAAAAGGCCAGCCAAGGCCCCGATACAGAGGATTCACGTCCAAAAGGGATCAACCGCGTAAGAGGAGAAAGCTGCCAACGAGTTCTTTCTTTTCCTTTCTTCTTTTAAGTTTCAGTTCTTATGTATTTATTTTGGAGTTCATCCAAGAGCATGAGTAACTAATTTCTTGTTAGTTAGGGCTTAATCTTGAAGCCCTAAACATGATTTCAATTATATAAACAAGTTTGAATGGATTTTTAGTTTCTACAAGCGTGATGATTTCGGTTTCTCTATGTTATGTGAATTCTGATATTTTGTTTCTTTGAGTAGCTAACTTTGAAGCATGTATTGGAATTAAATTGTTGTAGAACATAGGTCAATTGCCATATTGAATGTGTTCTTGTTTGCAACGAATAATGGGGTTAAGAACTAGTTATGAGAAATCGATTCTTGAATTCCTAATAACAAATGCCATGTTTTAGGGTTTTTGTGACACTCATATTCTCTTTGATCTTAATGGATTCTTGATTGTTAATTTGAGTAAATGTCATACTAGATTTCAATTAAGAATACACGTATTGATGTAAATGTCATACACTTTACATGCACTTAAGAGAGAATCATACAACTCGAGTCAAATGCCATGATCTTGTTGTGAGTGTCGTCATCATATGCTTGCTAGAAATTGATTATCTATTGTTGTTTATGGATTGATTGATTGGTTAGAGGTGGATAGTGAGTCCTAGCTATTGTTCTTGATTGATTATAAACCAATTTCTCTTAAACTCTAATTTAAATTCTGTTTTGTTTTGTTTTCCTTATTTTGTTTTATTCACAAAATCAAATCAAAACCCCCCTTGGTGTTGGCGTGTGTGTGGAAGTCCTTGTGTTTTCGTTGCGTGACATTGATAAACGTCTCTCTAGATTACAATCTCTGTGGGAATGACCCTTGCTTGCTTACTGTACTATCATTTGATTTGTACACTTGCAAGGTTTAAATATTGTTGTTAAAAAATTACCAACACGTAACATCCTTGGTCGCACAAGCTACAAAATAATTCCTTGCGTGATGCAGATGTTCTTCTTTGTCGCTAAAGGTTCCAAAAATTTTAGGCGGACTAAATGTGAAAAAAGGCGCCGTTTTTTTTCAGACTCTTCTTCTTCCTCCAGCCAGTCGTGCCCCTTTTTTTTTCAAACTCTTCTTCTTCCTCCAGCCGTGCCCTCCCAAACCTCCATACCACCACCTCCGTTCATGTCCAGCCCCAATACCAGACCTAACACGTCGGCCCCGACCCCGCCGTCACATCCCAGGCCTTCGCCGCCCCCGTTGATGACCCCTAACCAAAGCACAAACCCTCTCTCCCATTCCCCCTCTCTGACAGACCTAACACGTCTGTCCCGACCCTGTCGTCGCATCCCAGGCTTTCGCCGCCCCCGTTGATGACCCCTAACCGAAGCACAAACCCTCTCTCCCGTTCCCCCTCTCTGACCCGAAATTCTCCCCCTCTCTGACCCGAAATTCTCCCCCTCTCTCTCCAACCCAAATTCTCTCCCTCTCTCTCCAACCGAAAACCCCCATCATTGTAAACAAGTCACCACCAACACCTCCCTCTCGCATCCGCTGCTGTATATATCAAGGTGAAATTTTTTTCCTTTTTGTTATTATATTTTAATGCGTTTCTGATTTGGTTTTTCTCTTTGAATATATATATATATATATATTTATTTATTTGTGGTATCGGGTTGTTATTTTGGATTTCAGATTTGATTGGAGGTGTTGATCAAGCATTGTGGTCTTCGATTTGTGATTTTGTAAGTGTATTGCTGTTTGATTCGTTCGTTTGCAGCCCTATTTACATTTCATTGTTTATTTTATTTTTAAAAAATTAATCATGAGGGTTTAGCCGTAAATAACAGCAAATTGATATATGTAGTGGGGATGAGTTTCAATGATTTAGCTGCAAAAATGTGTTTGAACTTGTTTGTTGTCATGTGTTTCTGATTTTGTCATGGTATTGCTTTGTAGCTGCAAAAATGTGACTGTTTTGTAACTGTATTGCTGTTTTTTGTTTTGGTTGGTTGGATTGAGTTGCATTTATTTGGGGGGTTTAAAATATGACGTACTGTTAGTTTTTAAGAACTAGAGTTGTGGTTTTAGAAATTTGGTGCTACATTTGATTTTTCTATCATATGTGCTTATGATTTTTCTTGTTTGTTGTATGAGTTTATCATGAAAACATTGGAAAAAAAAAAAAAAAAAAAAAAAAAAAAAAAAAAAATATGTTATACATTAATATGTGCTTAGTCTTATGGTTGGTTAGGATTTTGTGTTTTCTTGAATGGGTTGGTTAGGATTTTGTGTTCTCTGGCATGGGTTCCTATTTTTTTGATTACTTTGACCATGACCATGACCTTTTGTATTAAAAAAATTGAAATAAATGTGTAAATGGTTTTGGACCACATTAAAGTAACTATGTTTAACATATTGGATGCTTGTTCAATTGTGCAGATGTCAAACCTTATTAGAAGTCGTAAGGTTGTCACGACTGCACAGATGTCGCCTCCCCCAACTCAGCCTTCAGCTGCCACTACTCCAGCATAGATGGACCACATGCTAGGTGGTCACTCTACGGGCTCCCCTGCACCGGCGTCATCAGCATCATCCGTCGCGCAACCTGTTAGCGCTAGGTGTGGTCATCGCCCCCCTAGCACGACCGACACAACCTCGATAGACGGTACGGGTGCGTCAGCGTCACAACCAGGTAAAGATTCCTTGAACTGCAACTGTTTTGGACCAATATTCTATAGTAGAATTTTTTATTTAACTTTAATTTTATATTTCTTTGCAGCCAAGAAGAACACCCGGGGGCCTTGTCGGCAATTGAAGATGGAGAAGGTCACTCGGGTGACCAATAGTCGTATCAACATCGGATACGACGAGAGGCATTGGGCTGCAGCAATGGTGAAATTGCATAGCTCATTAGCCCACGACATTGGTCACGTTGTTCGGGCCCATTGCCCAATGAAATGGAAGTCTTGGAAGGTCATGCCTGACGAGACGAGGATGGAGGTGCGCGGACAGTTGTAGGTATGTATCCTACTGTTTAATTGTTTTTTCTTCAAATTTTATATATATCTATTACTTAATGTATGTAATTAATGTATTGCAGACCAACTACAATTTAGAAGACCTCGACGACGAGTTGTTGACGTACGTCAACAGACTCTTTGGTGAGAGGTACAAGCAGTGGAAGAGCGACTTGCACCACCATTTTAAGACATTTGATGATTTGCAGGTCGCTCTGCATGAGGGTTGCCCACAGGAGCTTGAGGGCCGGGAGGATAGTTGGGCGTGGCTCTGCAGTCATTTTCAGGAGGGTGATTATTTGGTAATTTTTTTATATTAAGTTCACAATTATCATACGTTTCTTATTAATGTTTATTTAATTTTTTATATTTCCTTTCACTTTCAACTAATACGTTCATTTTTTTATAACAGAAGAAGGCCCAAGCAAATAAGGGCAATAGGAACAAGAAGACTCTTCTACACCATTCAGGTTCCAGGCCCTTCTCATATAGGATAGATGCACGACGACGGGTAATAATAAAATCTTTTATATTCAATTTTTAATATGTCATTAATAGTAATTTGTTTTTTCGTACTAACATTTGTATTTTGTTGTTTAATTCAGGAGGGGTCTAAATTCCTGGAGATCGACGTCTTTGGCGACGTTTATGTTCGACCTGGGAATGAGTTGGCTGAGTCCCTTCATGTAAGGATTCTTTATTTTTAATTATTATCTTACGCATTCATGTTTCATGGTTATTATATGAATGTTGTAATTAATATTTTATGTTATGTTAAACAGACAACGATGGTGGAGAAGAGCTAGTTGGTTCTTTAGAAGTCCGCCTCCCAACTTCCTCTCGATACTCCGCTCGAGTCTGTGGATCCTCCACATGATGCAGGGTTTCAGATCCTAACTGAGACCTTGGATCAGACTCTCAGGAGGAGGCCAGGGACATATTGTCGAGGGATGGGGAATGCCCGCCGGCGGGAACCTAGAGCTCGTTCCTCATTATAGTCAAACAGTCAGGTGACTGCTTTGACGGCAGAGGTGGCCGACCCAGATGTCACATATGTCACAGATTCTACAGTCCATCGTCCGGTCCGGCGTTCCTATACTGCATGTTGGCCCCTCGTCGACCTCCGAGCCCCTCCAACCCGACCTTCGCCACCACACTCTTGCCCCTATCGATACTGTCCAGACCTTCGAGCCGCATTTGAAAACATTAATCTTGTAATAAATACATTTATATTATGTTTACAAATATTTTTTTCTCTTCATTATTTTTTTAATTGAAATTTCATTTTATTAGAAACAAAAAATAAAGCAACCAAATTTATGACAAAAAAAACAAAAAAAAAAAAAAAAAAAAAAAAAAAAAATAAAAAAAAATAAAACCCCAAAATCAATTTGAAATTTTTTTTTTCGCGACGAAATGCTTTTTGTCGCCAATTCACTTTTTACAAAATAAAAAACGGAAAAAAAAATTTCAACAAAAAATATTTATTTTTGAGCGACAAAATATTTCGTCGCGCGAAAAATGAATTGCGACTAGTGGATTTTCGTTGCGCAAATGTTTGTGGCACGAAGTATTTCCTCGTCGTGCTGTGTTATTGCGATGAAGGATTAATCGTCGTGCACAGGTTTGCGCGACGACAAACTGTTTCGTCCCGAAAATTTTTGTGGGACAAAAGTCAACCGCCGCTCAAGTTTTTGCGACCAAGCAACATTATTTGTCGCGAAAGTCTTTCTTCACGATCTTTGCCAAACGGATTATGCGCGACGAAGTTTCTGTCGCGCTAAATTTTGTGCGACTAAAAGGATTTTTGCGCGATGAAATTGACTTCGTCGCACAAATGATGAAATGTCGTAGTGATGGCATAGTTAGAGCTATAAACATATATAATATTATGAAAGTACAGAAGATACAAGTAAAAATTCGAATCTCGAGTAACATGTGCTAGGGTTACCTTATATATATCCGATACTTGATGAGACAGTAACATGTGCTAGGGTTACATTATATATATCCGATACTTGATGAGAATGTCTCACTGCGAAATATCATGAATTCAGAATCGGATCAAGACAATGTATAGGAGCAACAAAGCTCTTATTCACGGCAATAAGAGGACTCTAATGAATATGCATATATGTGTAGGCTGTAGATTCAGTTATGTTTGACCCGCAGGTGATCTAAGCAAGGTTTCTTGAGGCCAGCAGGGCTTGCTTGAAGCTCCATGAATTTCTCATATGTCATTCCAATGTATTTTGGGGCTACTTTGGGTACTTCATGGCCATTAGATGCCTCCATTGAAGTAACTGTAGGTGCCATTGAGAGGAGAGAGAAAGAGAGAGAGAGAGAGAGAAAAAGAGGTGGGACTGAGCCTTTGAGAGTGATATTTCTGTATATCTTTGAGTGAGAGAGAAGGTGTAGGGCAGTTGTGGAGGTATTTAGAGAAAAGGAATGGGTATTTATAGAACAGGATGTACTGATTTTACACGTGGAGGATTTCTACTTGGGGCCTGTTATTTTAATGTTGCCCCACACCACAAGGTCTAGAAATTTTACAGAAATAAGTTGGCCAACGCTGACCAAGTTCCAAAATCTTGTCAATGCAGAATAAATAAATATATATTTTGTACTTAAACCTGTATGTTCCGATGAGTATTTTGTTGCTTTTTGTTGTAATTTCTTAGGTAGAATGGTCAAAGTAAATTTTAACATAGGACAAAAACGCGTATATCGAAGGAAACGTTTTTGTGTATATTTCAAATTGGACGTTTTTGTCGTACGATTGTTGAGTACGTACTAACAGATGCTTTAGGAATCGGTTTTGTGAAAACGTTAATCCTTTATAATCCCCCTATCTGTTTTTTCCCTTGAACTTTTTTTAAAAAAATTAATAAATAAAAATCAAACTCTTGTTATACATGAAATTTAGATACCCTAACCTTTCATATAGGCTAAATTGTCTTGAGGGAGCAAAATTCTAGAAAGTGTCTATTTGAAAAAGACAAATTATGCTAGCAACCTTCTCTTTTGAAACTTCTTCCTTTTTTGCTTGACATGTGTCATTCTTTTTACACTTAAAGCAATGTCATTAATATATTATTCAATCTAACTTTTGCTACTTGGGGCCTGTTGTTTATATAATTAGAGTGGTTAAAGTATTTTGTGAAGTAAATTAGGTTAGACTAATTGAAAGTTGAATTCAATCCTCGTGTATTTGCCATACTATATTACGATTGACCTTGTGCACTTGCAAGTATAATTTGTGTTTAGACTAATCTTTATAATCTCCATTTTTCAAGTTGTCTAAAATTCACAACAAAAAACAACTAATCTTTTAATTATGGCCGACACTTTTAAAAGATATTTGACATCGTGCTAAAGTTGAGATACCTGCCTCCTCGAAGTAGCTATAAATAGGAGCCACTTCTTTAATTTACAACCACTCAACACACTTTCGCGTCCTTCCCAATTTACATCTTGTAATAGATCATCTTCTGAGTTAAGTTTTAAGCGAAGGCTCCACTTGCTGTTGCACAAACCATGGACACATTGAAAGTAACAAGCATCAAATCACTTGCTGAATCCCCTGCCCTCAACTCAGTTCCTTCCACATATGCCTTCAACATAAACCCCAACGAAGAAGCAGATCCAAACGATCCTGAATTCGCAATTCCCATTGTTGATATGTCTCTTCTCACCTCAGGTTCTCCTGATCAACGGTCAAAAATCATTCACGACCTCAGAAAAATTTGTCAAGAATGGGGCTTCTTCATAGTAATTTTGATCTACATATATTATATCTACAGCAGTTATATTACAAACTTAATAATTGATTGACAATTTATTAACCATTGCGATGCAATTTTAATTCCAGGCCATTAACCATGGAGTGCCAGAGAGCCTCATGAAGGCGATGATTGACGCTTGTCATGGATTTTTCACTCTTCCTGACAAGGAGAAGCAGGAGTTTAAATCGGGTAACGATGTGCTAGAGATGTTCGAGTATGGTACCAGCTTTAATCCGGCCACGGATAAAGTCCTCCTGTGGAGGGACTTCTTCAAGGTGAGAGTACATCCAGAGTTCTACTCCCTCTACAAACCGAGTTGCTTCAGTGAGATATCAAGGGAGTTCAGCAAGAGAAGCCGAGAGGTTGCATTGGAGATAACAAGAGCAATCTCAGAAAGCCTGGGATTGGAGCCAAACTACATATACGACGCAATGAACATGGATCGTGGCTTGCAAATGCTGGCCGCCAACTACTACCCACCATGCCCTCAGCCAGAACATGCAATTGGTATACCACATCACACTGATCATGGCCTAATCACTCTCCTCATCCAGAATGAGATGAATGGCCTCCAAGTTGAGCACAACGGGAAATGGCTCACTGTCGATGGCCCTACCAACTGTTTCTTTGTTAACCTTGCTGACCAGATGCAGGTAATTTTATTTTTATTTATCGCACATTAAACAACTTCAAGAAGAAGCAAAAGAGTAGGCTAACCTCATTTGCCTTGCCACATCAGCATTTTCATGCTCCAAGGAAAGAGGGAAATGGGTAGATTCTCTTAGCTCATCTTGGTTGCCTATTCTTTTTCTCTGTAAGATTGCTTTCTGCATTTGGAAACTTGGGTCATATGCATCAATCGCATCTTTGACGATTCAAGTTTGATTCAATTCATGGTTTTCAACAGATTCTTACTAACGGCAAATACAAGAGTGTGATGCATCGGGCCACCTTGAACAACAAAGCTACACGAATCTCTATCGCCATACCACATGGACCATCTGTGGATACAATTATTGCCCCAGCTCCAGAGTTAATGGAAAAAGAAGGTGAAGCTCCTAAATACCTTGCAATGAACTATAAGGAATATATAAAACTTCAACGAAGTGGCAAGATCTACATGAAGTATACCTTTGATCACATACGAGCCTAAGCATTTTGCTTCAACGACACTTCAACTATAATGAAAGAGCTGCAGCATCTTTTTTTCTTTTTTCTTTTTTTTTGTCTTTTGTTTTTTCTTTCAATAATCATGTCATCTTCGTCCTGTATTTTTATTGGGGTTTTCTTGCAGTTGGACTATGCTCCAACAATTAATGATTATTTATGCTTGATAATCCCCAGGGCTTTCCACATATAAGCCTATATTTCTAGAAATGGGGTTCATTATAAATTTCTCTAATCGCTCCTTGGAATCCTTTTAGTTTACACACTATATATTATCCGTTTTGGTGCATAACTCTTCTCTGAACAAAAGTCCTTTCTTTGGAGCAGACTTCATATGATCTTCACTAAGAGAATGTATGAACTCCTAGTCAAGATCACGCAATTAAGTTGCTGATCGAATATTGATAAATTTTCACCTGTGACCAAATACAACATCAAGTTGAATTGATCGAAAGAGAATCACGCACACTTTATGAAATGCACAATTTATATTTATCGAGCCAAAATAGAGTGAGGTATATAAATCAGAGGATTAGATCCTGTGGTTACGGACTATAGAGTCGGAGGTTCCAACAGCGTGTAGGAAAATCATGATCGGAATAACGGACCAAAAATAACATCTACTTGTTCTTTTAACATTGGAAATAAATAGTTTAGTTAAATAGAACCTTCCATGACACTTGAGTCTCCTCATCAGATCTAGATGCCAGATATAGATTTTTGTTTTTTGTTTTTTTATAGACCGTAATATTTGAATGAGATTTCTACAAATTTTAGCTTACCAAGTATGAAGATTTGGTAAGAAAATTCCAAATTTCATTTGGATTTATATGGAACTTACCATGTACTTTGAATCAATGTGTCTCTTTTACTCCAGTGTTGGTGTGCTGTTAGATGGGGACAGACGGCAATTTATTTATTCATCTCTTCCCATGACTCTTAGTATTTAATTTATTTGATTTTAATGTCAGGTGGTTCATCAACATTCAATAAGAAATTACTAATACGCAGAAAATAGTCATGTGCTGACACAATTCAATGAAAATATTATTTAGAGCAAAATCATGCAATTGAAGTCCAGTCCTATTTTGAGTCCACATTCCTCCTCTATGGCTTCAATTAAACAAAAAATATTTTTTGTGTCCAATTCAGTTGCGTTAAAATTGATTCAGTTGCATCCTCAAATTGTGATACTTGTAAGCGCACGAGCCGTTCGATAGTATAGCATATGTAAGTGTGAGGTCGATCCCACGAGGATTGATGATAGATTTTTCAATTCAATTCCCTGTACAAAATAGAAAACAAGAAAGAAAATAACAAAAAACAAGAAAGAAAGAAAATAACTAACTTAAGCAAATCAGTTAACAAGTTAAATTCAAATTTACATATTGATTCTAACTAAAGTATGATTAAGCCATAGTGTCTGGTCCTAACCTTGTATAACTAATTCCTTAATTAGATTATTTGTTGTCGAACCTAAATTAAGAATTAGAATTCCATTAAGCATAAAAGAATGTTTTAAACAACCAAATATGTATCTTATCCTTATTGTCGATTGAATGTCCATACATATTTTTCCTATTTATAGTTCAAATCGAATTAAGGCATATGGTATCTATTCCTAATTCCAACAAAGATAGCTAACATACAACTTTTGATGGTGATCAATCATTCAAACAAGTATATTAACTTATAAGCGTAATCAATAAGAACAAGAACCGTAATTTAAACTTGGAAACTAATCAAACTTTAAAACTTAAAATAAGAAATTACATGATAATGAAAAACAAAGTACAATTAAGAAAAAAATTAAGGAAAATTTAGCCAAAGGGTTTTGTTGCAACAATTGAGAACTAAAAAGAAAAAAACTATGAGAATTTGAGGGAGAGAAGGGATAAGAGCTCTAGAGAGATGTTTGAGAGCTCCCCTCTTAGGGTGTGTTTGTAAGCTTGGAGAATCTCACTATTTGTAGGCATACGGAAAGGAAAATTATGAATTGAGTATCGCTTCTACCTACAATACTCACTTCACCAACTTTACCTAACTTCTCCATAAAAAACAATTAGCTCATGCATAGGTCAAGCATGACAATGCATTGCAGTATGCTTGTAGGCTCGTTTTGGGCTTGTTCCTCCATTCCAAAAATTCTGGAAAAATATTGATCTTGAAGCTCTTTATCGTATCTTTCCAACAATATGTAGCCCAGCTTAAGGAAAAATTGGAAAAGCCTTCAAATAGCTTTTTTGGCACAGTAGCGTAGATGCTTCTGAAATTCACCTTAAGCTGTCAAAACTTTCATAACTTCTGTTCACCCGTTTTTGTGATCACTCCTGTGGTGGAAGGGCAAAGTTCCCCACTGCCTTGAAAACCATTGACTGGTCAGCAAGTCAACTTTCTTTGGTGTATGAGCGTGCCACTGCTAGCGATGAAGATTCTAGCAAACTTATTCTAGAATAGATAACTTGCGCCCCAAGTTACCGATTTCCATAAACAAGCGATTGTGAATTTGGGTGAGGAATATCTCCCAAGTAAGTTATTTTATTGCCTCAAACTGGTGAAGACTTTAACAATTTATCTCAGTATAAAGAGGTTGTTCTGGCCAGAATGGTTGATGGAATTTAAGCTGTCTTAGGCAGAACTGCATTTTACAAAACATAAATATCCAAGCTAGAAAGATGAAAGGACAGCTGGAACTCCATTTATGCATGGATAGGAGGTTCTGATCCGGGCTGGACTGGAAATATCTGGGCTGGACTGGACTGTTAACAACTTCAGCTGCTAAGCTTCAGCTGTAGATCGATACCAAAGGTTAATTTTGGCAGAGCTTTAATACACTTCAAGCTTTTGTAGGCTTATGAGTGGGCAGAACTGCGGCTTCTTCAGTCTGTAAGGGCAGAAGTGGCTGTTCTCGAGGACTTCAGTGGGCTAGAGACTGTACTGTAAAATTTGTTGAGGTTTTCATGTTTGGGGAAAGCTCAAGCTTTACCTGTCTTGGTTTTTTGCTGAATCAAATTTGTAACGAGAGAAATCTCGTTTTGAATGACTTATTTTCTAAGTCTGAACCTTGGGAATTCTGATCTAAAGCTGGTTTTCACTTGGAATTCAAGTGAGCTTCTGGTTGATTTTGAGTTGTTTGTTTGATTGATGACTTGAGTGTTGGATTGATTGTGTTCTTGCCCTGTTCACTCCTTCTTGTATTTATAAGAGATGTTATCTGGAGTAGGGTAATTCTTTTAAATAATGGGTGACAATTTTCTTTAAAAAGGTCTTTCATTTTTAATTGTAAAGAAATGGGGTTTTGATCAATTTCTGGTAGATAAGCTCTCAATAGTCAGTTCTTAAGATCACTTCCCTGTTTTTCTTGAAAAAGAACCTAACCCCTCTTTTAATTCCAACTGCCCCCCCCTGTGAGAACCGTGATGGTTAGTCTAATTCTCAGTTTTGAACAGGTCCTTGTTTTCCTGTTTATCTTTCTCTGAGATTGTGTTTGCTTATCTCTTTGGGAAAATCACCTTCTGAATAGAAGAAATATATCTAAATATATTCATATGTAAGGGGATTTGATCTTTCAGAATTTCAGAGATGTCCCTTCCCAGTTTTGCCAGCTACTGACCCTCTCTAATCATCTCTGTAATGGCTGGTTTTTGTTGACTTTTCCAAATCTGATAAAAGGGTGTCACATGGTTTTCTGAAAAGAAATGGGTCTTTTCTTTTATCAAAATCATGCTGGGTTTATTTTTGTCTGGAGTTCGAAGGTGACTTTTCTTTTGAGGCCCAAGTTTTGCTTGTCTGTTTTGATAAGTCTTGGGCTAGCCCTTTCTGGATTTTGGGCTTCTGTTTCCCCCTTTTTTTTCAAAGACAAAACTGTTTGAGTTTTGTGGTTTTATTCTGGGCCTCCTTTGTTGGTCTAGGCGTGTCAATTTTAGGCCCAAACAATGCCCCCTAAGTCTGAACCGTTTTTGGAACAGTTTCAGACTTAAATGAATTGGCCATTAAATTGGCGCGTGCCAGTTTCTTCCGTTATCCCACGTCTGCCATGTCTTCCCACTGAGCTAGAGTTTGTGGGAAACTGTTCAGTTACTAGCTCTTTATTAGCTAGTCATTTATCAGATGACGCCTTGTCTTTTCCACCTCCTTGTCTTCTCTTTCCCACGTTTTCGAGCTTCTTTAAAAGAAATTCAAAACCCACTGTTCCTGTTCATCCGAAGACCTAGTATCTCAGATTTCACTCCTTTGAGCTTCCTTTTTGACAACTCCCTTTCGCTAGAACCTGCCTTGCCTTTCCTGTCAACTCCCTCTTTTCAAACAAAAATCAACCCTGAGAGATGTCTTCCCCGAAATCCCGTGCTCAGTCTTCCTCTGTTCAAGTTCCTCCAAATTATATTACTGGGATTGGGATTGATAAGCACGCAATAGAGGTCAAGAGCAGGCTCCATCCTTTTGGTTAAAAGAACCTGGATGAGAATGTCCTTCATCTCTTCTAGAATACCCTGGTCTTGGGTCCACACTGGTTTGGTTCTGTTCTTGTTGAAATGGCGGACCTGTTCAAAGATGACGCCGAAGCTCCCCTATGTTTCGAAAGTTCTTCTGCTCTGGCTTCTCATTCTTGGGTTAGTAAGAACTTGAGCCGTTCGTTCCCATCTAGTGAAGTGAGAAATAGTCCAGTCAAGTGGGCTGACTGGATTGACAGGCTTCTTCCTCGGTTTGGGGCTCACTGGAAACGGGCTGGTATTTATGACGTCATCCTGCTGTCTAAACAGTCTATTAACAGGGATGAAAATCTCTTGGCTGCATCTCTCTGCTTCTGGAATTCTGCCAGCAATACCTTTGATTTTCGTGTGGGCTCGATGTCACCAACCTTGCTGGATATGGCTCAGATCTTCGGATTCAGGCCCCATGGAAGACCTGTTGATGCCATTGGGGATTATCATCGAAGGAAGAACCAAGAAAAACTGTCCAAGCCTTTCACCGTTTCTTTAGCCGTGATCAACCAAAACTGTTCTTTTTCCAATTATATGAGGAAGTTTAGTGTTGAGAAGGACAAGGATCAGCAACACATGTTGTTCCTCCTGTACTGGCTGAACAGGTTTGTTTTCCCAAATCGTTCCTCAGCAGTTCTGCTTGAGTACAGACACTTGGCAGAGGCCTTACACAATCATACTGACGTCGGACTTGGGCCTACTATTTTGGCTCATTTGTTCAAGAATCTGCACACTGCCACTCTGGATGATCCAAATCTGGCTGCAAGTTTATTTCCCGGAACTAAGGTTTCCAGATATAGTTCTGCCTGAAGACCAAGTTCTGGCCTTACCTTTAATGTTAGCAGAAGTGCCCAAGAGATCGATTGATGAGTACCTGATGTTCTTCAGACATTGTACTAAGAGGTCTGCAGCGCAGTGGCAGGTGGTGATTAGAAAGACATACCCTTGGTTCCAACCTGGATACCGGCTTTTTGAGAAGGAACCGAAAGATGAGGTAGCCAGAACTGACTTCAGGAAGAAGTTCCTGAGTGTTACCTTGCCCAGGGATCTGCCTCATGGAGGGGGAAAACCTCCAAATTACCACTTGGGGGCAGAAGTCTATCACCCTAATTTCTACGCAAGACAACTTGGCTGCCCCCAACTTATTCCGCTTAAATCATACAGAAGCTGCAATAAGGGTTCTGATAAGTCCATAAATATACTCATTTATGTACTCTTTTTACTTAGGTTTTGTAAGAGAATTAGATTTAAAAATGGCTTATTACTTTACTTTTCTGATTTTCAGCTTTTCTGCGCTCTTAGAATGTTTTTAAGGAAAAATTAACTTTTTGGAGGAATTTTAGCGCAAGGTCAATTGGAGATGAAAGCTAACATCTTGAAGTTCAATCTGTGATTTTTCTAGAATTTTCTACCAAGCCAATTGGTACAGTATTACAAGTAAAGTTAGCCCACGTGCAGACAAGACAGTTTCATACATGTTACGTGAATGTGAAGAAACGGAAGCCTTCCCGAATTTTTCAAGTTACATGCTATATGTGGTTGGAAAGATAAGCCATTTATCTTTCTAAAATATATTTTTAATGATTTTTCTACAAGGCCGAAGATCCACAAATCGTGTGACAATTAGGCTGAGCTGTATTTCCCTATGGAGTTAGGAATTGTGATTTTTACTTTCCTATTTGGATTCCTTGTTTACCAAGACTTCTTGGACGACTCTCAGTCAATTTTAGGGTTTATAACTTTGATATAAGTGATATAAAAGGCCATCCAAGGCCCCGATACAGAGGATTCACGTCCAAAAGGGATCAACCGCGTAAGAGGAGAAAGCTGCCAACGAATTCTTTCTTTTCCTTTCTTCTTTTAAGTTTCAGTTCTTATGTATTTATTTTTGAGTTCATCCAAGAGCATGAGTAACTAATTTCTTGTTAGTTAGGGCTTAATCTTGAAGCCCTAAACATGATTTCAATTCTATAAACAAATTTGAATGGATTTTCAGTTTCTACAAGCGTGATGATTTCGGTTTCTCTATGTTATGTGAATTCTGATATTTTGTTTCTTTGAGTAGCTAACTTTGAAGCATGTATTGGAATTAAATTGTTGTAGAACTTAGGTCAATTGCCATATTGAATGTGTTCTTGTTTGCAACGAATAATTGGGTTAAGAACTAGTTATGAGAAATTGATTCTTGAATTCCTAATAACAAATGCCATGTTTTAGGGTTTTTGTGACACTCATATTCTCTTTGATCTTAATGGATTTTTTATTGTTAATTTGAGTAAATGCCATACTAGATTTCAATTAAGAATACACGTATTGATGTAAATGCCATACACTTTACATGCACTTAAGAGAGAATCATACAACTCGAGTCAAATGCCATGATCTTGTTGTGAGTGTCGTCATCATATGCTTGCTAGAAATTGATTATCTATTGTTGTTTATGGATTTATTGATTGGTTAGAGGTGGATAGTGAGTCATAGCTATTGTTCTTGATTGATTATAAACCAATTTCTCTTAAACTCTAATTTAAATTCTGTTTTGTTTTGTTTTCCTTATTTTGTTTTATTCACAAAATCAAATCAAAATCCCCCTTGGTGTTCGCGTGTGTGTGGAAGTCCTTGTGTTTTCGTTGCGTGACATTGATAAACATCTCTTAGATTACAATCTCTGTGAGAATGACCCTTGCTTGCTTACTATACTATCATTTGATTTGTGCACTTGCAATGTTTAAATATTGTTGTTAAAAATTACCAACAGGTTCTTCTTGGAGGGATGCAGATGATTTGGAGGTCCACAAGGATGCAAGGTGTGCAGTAAATAAGATCAACAATAGTGCAGATGCCCTTTATCCTTCATGGGAACCGAATTCCTGCAGTTCTGCCGAGTTTGACGCTTGGTGGAAGGTTAGATTCCGTAATCTGCCTGCTTCTAGTACCGCACTTCAGGTCCTTTTTAAGGGTTGGGACAACTGGACTGTCCACACAGAAGAGGAGACTCACAAATTCATGGTGCAGACCATCAAAGACATCAATATGCAAGTTATAGAAGGTAACTTTTCAATTCTGTTTGTTGCTGTCTATTCTGTCTTTAGTGATGATGCTAATCTTTTATTCTGCCTGCAATCAGATCCTTCTTTAACAAAGAATATTGGTAGCCAATCTGCCCAGAGTGGAGAGGTGTTTGGTAAGTTTTCTTGTTATTCTGTTTTTCTTATCATTTCTCTGCTGGATTGATCCTTGACTTTTGTTTCCTACACAGTCAACTCTATTATTGCTGCTGGGGATCTGGAGCTGCCTTCTGGGGATGGAGAAGAAGAAGAAGATCAGGCAGAACAGACTCATGTTGAGGCCACGTCTTCTGTTAGACAGTTTTTGAGTTCTTCATAATTCTATTCTGCCATAATTCTTAAGGCTTATTTTCTGTTCATTAAAGCTAGAAGTCCCTCTCCTCCCCCTACTAAGTCAAAAAGACTTAGAAAGAGGATTGTAGAAGAATATGTGGCCCCGTTGGGGACTGGAGCAGTTCCCACTGTTACTTCTGACACGAATGAAGAGCTGAGAGAGGGTTTTGAGGCTATGGACCAAGAGCAGGAGCTGGAAGACCTGGAAGAAGTAGGAGATGGGCCTCAGGAGAAGGCCAAGACAGTGGAAGAAGAGGTGAGTCTTGTTTCTTTAGCAGTATTAGTTTCTGCTGCCTTTTTGTTCCTTCTGTCCTGACTTCTGCCTATTTGTAGGAGGAAATCCCTGCCGAGGTGATAGCAGAGAGCATTGCCTTGGCTCAGAAGCAATAAGAGCAACAGAAAGACATAGGGGCAGGGCTGACTAGCTCAAAGTTGGCCCTATTTGAGGATCCAGAGGTAGAACATTCTACCGCTATTCTAGCAGCTGGGGAACAATAAGAGCAATCTGCCTCCGAGCCTGTGGAGCAGGCAGAATTACCTGTTGCAGTTCCAGAAAGTGTAGTGAAAGTGGTTGCGGCTGCCCCTGAAGTGATGGTAATTTTCTTCTTACTCTGCTATTTATTTTCTGTAATTCTGTTCCAGTTCTGCTTCCTTAACTGTTTCTGTCTTTCCAGGTAGAAGTGCCCAGGTCTGCTGGCGTTCTGGCAGTGATGACCAGTCCCTTGAAGCCTCCAATTGTCGCTATAAGTGTTCATTGCATCTTTTGGGTTTTTCTCTTCTCTTTTCTGCTTGGGTTTGACTTACGTTTTCTTCTGTAGATGCCTCTTCATTCCCCCCCCCCAGTTCATCTGCCACGGCCTCCTTTGTTGATCCAGAACTGGCAGAGTTTGAAGCCATAGACTTAGATGCACAACTAGACAGATTGGAGATGCTTAGCTCTCCTGTAGGCAAGGCAAAATCCAAGGCAGTGGAGGAGGCTATGGAGAGGTTGAAGATCTGGCAGTCTACTGAACTGGAGCTGGATGAGGATAGGGAAGCCATTGACCAGCTGATGAAGGATCTGGACCTGCTCCACAGACAGAACATGGCCCTTAAACCTATACTTGAAATGAGCCTTGGCTTGGCAAGGGATGTGCTCAACCTTCACGACCGTTATGAGGATCTAAGCCCACCTTCAAAACTTCTGAGTTCTGCAAGGCCACACATGAAGCCAACTTGGCTTATTTTGCAAAGCAGAAGGCAGAATTGGATCAGATGGTGGCGGGTTATAAGGAAGCCAAAGCCACTGCAGACAAATTGGAGAAGCAGATTGCAGAGCTTCAAAAGCAGCTGGTAGAGTGCAGGGAAGTGCAGAACAGGCTCGGGGCTGGATTGAGTTCCAAGACTAAGGCCACCTTCCTTGTGCAGAGCATGGTTGCAGCTTCTAGGCCAGCCCTGGAGATTGCAGAGGCTTCAATTCATCAGGGGGTGTTGCTTCAAAAAGAACTTGCAAGAAACCCTCAAGAAATTAGGGTTTTGATTTTGTTATTTATTTATCCTTTCAGTTTTTTTTAGTGTTGTCCCTTCTCTATCCCAGGATCTGTTTGTACAACCTGTGAATCCCACATAGTTGGATAAAACTTCTTTAACCATTTGCCATTGATTGGGGTAGCATGAATTTCTCAATCTTTATCCTGCAACTTGTATGCCCCTATTCCAAGGATCTGATTGATTATGAAAGGGCTTTCCCATGTAGGTGACCATTTTCCATAACCAGCCACATGTGTTCCAAGGGGCAGAACTGCTTTCCAGACTATCTCTCCCTCTTCAAAACTCTTGTTCTTGACTCTTTGTTATAGGCCCTTGACACAGCTTGCTTTCCTGCCAGGAGTTTATTGAGGGTGTCAATTCTGCTTGCATCCAATCCTTCCAGTTATAGCAGCATGGCTTGAGAGTAGTTTTCTCCTACCAGATTATGTTGGTGAGCAATTCTGAGGGACTGAACAGCTATTTCCATAGGCAGAATTGAATCATGACCATAGGTTAATGCATAGGGGGTCATGCCAGTTGCTTCTCTTTTAGAAGTTCTATATGCCCACAGAGTTTCTGACAACTTGTCATGTCATTACTTTGGATTCTTCTCAAGCATTTTTTGGATAATGTTGATGATTACCTTGTTGCTTGATTCTGCCTGCCCGTTAGCTTGAGCATAATAAGGAGTGGATTGAAGCAGCCTGAATTTGAATGCCTCTGCCATATCCAGCATTTCTCCATATATGAAAGAAGATCCTCTGTCAGTTGTGATTGATTCTGGAATGCCAAATCTTTGTATAATCTGTTCTTCTATGAAATTGATGATCTCTTGAGATGTAGTGGATTTAACAGGCTTGGCTTCTACCCACTTAGTGAAATAGTCTATGGCAACAATGATAAAACAGTGCTGCTAGTTGCTGGCTGGATAGATCTTGCCAATGAGGTCCATTGTCCATCCTTTAAAGGGCCATGGCTTTACCACTGGATTCATGGGAACTGAAGAAGCCGGCTGGATTGGGCCGTGTCTTTGACAAGACTCACACCCCTTGGAATAGTCAATGCAATCTTTCATCATGGTTGGCCAGAAATAGCCATACCTTCTAATTAACCAGCACATTTTCCTCCCACCTTGATGAGCTCCACAGATTCCTTCATGAGTTTCCCCCATGACTTTCATGTATTCTTTCTTTTCAAAGCCATGATTCTGACTCTCTTCTCAGAGGGCAGAGTTGGATATCATAAGTAAGTCATGATAGGATTTCTCCAATCATCTTCAGTGATTGCGGCAGAATTGACATCTATTTCCATCCCCCTGGTCAGAATAGATGGTAGACTTTTCTTCCCTATCTTGATGATTCTTTGTACACAATCTTCAGGCATTTGTATGCTTGTTGCTACCTGAGCCAATTCATTGGCTGCAAAGTTTTCTTCCCTTGGGATATGCTCCCAAGTAGCTTCTCTGAATTCTGTCAGAAGATTCCTAGCTGCCACCGGGTACACAGCTAGAGAAAGACTTAGGCACTTGTATTCCCCAGCAATCTGTTTCAAAACATGCATGGAATCTCCCAAAATTTCCACATATTGGATTCCTAGTTCCACCAGCATTTCTAAGCCAATGATTAGAGCCTCATATTCTGCCATGTTGTTGGTGCACTAGAAATCCAATTGGAATGAGTAACAGTGTCTGATTCCAAGCGGTTCTTCCAAAACAATTCCTGCCCCTGAAGCTATATCAGTTTTTGATCCATCAAAGTATAGCTTCCAAGGTGTGCGATGAACTGAATAGATAGGATTGTTGAGGCAAGTGTGAGCTCTGGTCAATAGATCTGTATTGGCTATGTCCAAAGAGTCCATGTTTTCAATCTCCTCCCCAGGATGATCTACTAGGAAGTCTGCCACAGCTTGTCCTTTGACAGCTTTCTAAGAAACATATCTGAAGGCAAATTCTCTCAGCATTGGTCTTGTTAGCATGTATTTGATTAAATCTGTTTTGACAATGATGTAGATGGTGTATGGCAGCATGTAGTGTCTGAGTTTCACAGCAGTGAAGTACAAGGCTAGGCAAAGTCTTTCAATCGCAGAATATTTTCTTTCCACCTCTGTCAGAGTTCTGCTCAGGTATTAGATTGCATGTTCCTTCCCTTCCTTGTTATCTTGAACCAACAGACTCCCAGTGGATACTTTTGATGCAGATACATAGAGCTTGAGTGGTCTGCCTCTCTTTGGTGGGGACAGAACTAGTGGATTTGAGAGGTAATGCTTGATTTCCTCAAAAGCTTGTTGGTGCTGTTCTTCCCACTTGAAGGTCTATTCCTGTTTCAATCTTAACAAAGAAAAGAAAGGTTGGATCTTTCCTGCAGAATTGGATATGAATCTCCTTAAAAAAATTAATTTTTCCTAAGAGACTCTGCAATTCTTTCTTGTTCCTAGGCGGCAGAGCTTCTATGATGGACTTTGCTTTGTTTTTGTCAATTTCTATGCCTCTCTGGTGGACCAAGAATCCTAGGAAATTTCCTGCTTGAACTCCAAAAACACAGTTCTTTGGGTTCATCTTCAGTTTATGTTGCCTCATTCTTAGGAATGCTCTCCTTAGATTTGATATGTGGTTTTCTTCCTTTGGGGATTTAATCACCACATCATTGATATAAACTTCCAAAGAATGCCCTATCATATCATGGAAGATAGAATTCATTGCCCTTTGATAAGTAGCCCTTGCATTTCTTAAGCCAAAAGGCATTACAATGTACTCAAAAGCACCTATATGTCCTGGACACATGAAGGCTGTCTTGTGGATGTCTCCTTCTGCCACCATGATCTGATTGTAACCTGCATTGCCATCCATAAAAGATAGCATCTGGTTGTGTGCAGTTCCATCTACTAGCATGTCTGCCACTGGCATAGGGTACTCATCCTTGGGAGAAGCTTCATTTAGATTTCTGTAATCCACACAGATTCTGATTGCCCCAGTTTTTCTTTTCAGAACAGCTACAATATTAGCTAGCCAGCATAGATGACTGGTCTAATGAATCCTGCTTTGAGCAACCTTTCTATTTCTTCTTTGACCTTCAGTTCTGTGTCCATGGAGATTCTTCTTCTGGCCTGTTTGACTGGAAGGTATCCCTCTTCGATTGGTAGCTTGTGCTCCACTAATTCCCTGTCTAGACCTGGCATTTCATGATAATGCCAAGCAAAAAAATCTTTGAACTCCTGCAACAATGCAATGAGCTCACTCTTGAGCGGTTCTTTCAATAGTGCGCTAACAAAAGTAGGCCTTGGATCCTCTTCTATCCCTAAGTTTATTTCCTGTAAAGGATCTTCCACTTCTGGCAGAGAGTCATCCAGTGCTGCTGACGCAAAATCTAACACTTCCTCCTGTAACTCTTCTTCCTCCTGGTCTTCGGTGCTCTCATGAGTGAATTCTGCCATATTGATGGCTGGATCCTGCATGAAGAGCTTCATTTCCTCCCAATATATCAAGTAAAAGCTTCTTTTTGTAATGGATCGGATTGTTGCAGCTCGATCCTTTTCTTGTTGATAGGAACTAAACATCAAAGTTTTGGAGGTTTAGAACAAAAGGTCTATTCCAGTCTTCTAAGGAACTAGCTAGACCATCTTCAATGAGCCTCTGGGCCGTGACACCATGGGGATGGCCATTCTGGTTGACTTCAAGGAAAGTGAAAGGACCAAGGTCATCATAGTAATACCTTGCCTCAAAACACATGGCAGAAGGCCGAAATGGCCGTGGATCGGCCTCTACTATCTCTATGTAACCTTCTTCATTCCACAGAGCTAATTGCTGGTGAAGAGTGGAGGGAACACACAGACTCTGGTGAATCCAGTCCCTGCCAAGTAGTGCATTATAGGTGGTGGAAGTGGTGTCTACCACAAAGAATGCAATCTTCAGCTCTTTGCTTCCAACCATGACATCTACATCTAGGATCCCATGAGTTTTGGTGATGCCCCCTGCAAATTTGGTGACGGTTAAGCGTGTTGGGATCAAGTCCTTCTCTGTTCTGCCCATTTTGCTTAGCATTCTGTGAGGCAGAAGATTAACGGCTGCACCTCCATCTACCATGACTTTGGGAATAGGAACACCTCCAAAATTTGTTGTTATAAACAAAGGTTTGAGATGATTGGCCATCTCCTTGGTTGGTTTGGAAAAACAAAGCTGTTCTGCAGTTAGTTTGTTGGTAGTTCCGCCTGTCCTAGGACTGCCTGCTCATTGTTCTGGTACCTCCTCTGCTTCTGCTAACCTGCATTCGAAACTTTCCTAGGAGAAAACATCTCCCTCCAGAGTGCTTTCTTGTCCATCTGCAGCTCTGAACTTTTCTGGCAGAATGAACACCATGTTGATGCCCAAATCACCCTGTAACAGGTTTTCTAATTCTGCACCAAAAGCTTCAGTTTCTGCATCTAAGTCCCCATCATATTCCATCTGTTCCTCCTCGAATCCTTCTGTCCAGTCTTCCTATTCTCCTGTTTCGAGGAGTGCATTCTGGTCATCTGCAGATGGCTCATAATGTAGCTGCTCCTCTTTATTTTCCTCAATCCACTCTTCTTGCCCTTCTACTGGAATAGGTTCAGATTCTCCTTGTATCTGTGGAGGTTTAAATTGATTGTCTGAGGATGAAGCAAGATGGATAGAAGGCTTAACTATAGATCCAGCTTTCAACATTTTCTGTGGCTGGATTACTTGTTCTGCCTGTGAAGGTATTTCCGGATCTTTTCCCTTTTCTGTCAGAAGTGGTTTCCGGAGGTTCCTGTGCATCACTTTTGTTCTTGAGGAATATGCAGTATTGCCTTTGAACCCTCCTCTTCTGGGCTGACTCTGCCTGTCCAGGACCACTTCTAGCTCAGCTTCACATTTGCACTTGCTGCAGAGCACTACTCTAGCTGAGATAGTTGCTTTTGGCCTTTCAATAGTTTCCCTTGAAACCATTCTGCCTCTGCTAGAACTGGCTTCTGTCGTTGGCCTGCTTCTCTTCTGTTCTGGCCAATTTAAGTTGACCATGTTGACTTGTGGTTGGGGAAAAGGATCTGTTGTGACTGAAGGAGATTTCTCCGCCAGTTTCAACCTTCCTGTATAACATCTCTGAAAACTACACAACTATTGGTATAATGGTTCCAAGAGTTGTGCCACCTGCAATACTGCTTGCCCCTGAGCTCTTCTGGCTTGGGCATCCTGTGGGGTGTCTTTATTGCCTTTTGCAGCAACATTTCATCAAATAAAGCATCCACCTTGGTTAGATCAAAGGAATAAACCTTATTCTGTGTTGGTTTGCTCGGAACAAACCCTCATGTGAATGGTGGCGACTTTTGATCCTTTGGTGGCTTAGTAAGGGCCTTGCAGCTGATGGGATGTTTCAATTTTGCCATTTCTGCTACTGCAACTTCTCCCTCCTCTGAGCATTCTGCTTCCTCTTCTGATTCTACCTGAACCAGATGTATTGAAGAGGAAGGTGACTTGTAATACGTGCCTTTGGATAAGTTCCTCATACTTGGATGCTTTATCTGCCAGTTCTGCCAGGTCTCCAAACAGCATCCTATCAAATCTTTTTTTCTTAGAGAGATCTTGAGGGCAGCTTGAGCCATCTGGATGAAGTGTCTTTCTTCCATAAGGATTCGGCACTTCATTTTGAGCTTCCTGAACCTGGTTATGAAGTCTTGAGCAGGTTCATCTTCACTCTGTTTGAGGGCAGCAAGGTCACTGATGGTGACTTCTGGCTGAATCCTGTAATAATAGTCGTGGAAAACATTTTCCATCTGCTCCCAGGTTTGAACAGAATTAGCTGGCAGGTTGGTGTACCAAGTAAAAGCTTGTCCAGAGAGAGAATTCCCGAAAAGCCTCAACTTCAAAAGAGGATTGTTCTCTATGGCTATGCACTGGACAGAGAACCTGCCTATGTGCTCAATTGATGAAGCATGGGGATCCTCTCCGTTGAATAAGGTGAAGTTTGGCACCTTAAAACCCGGGGATAGAGGTATTTGATCGATATAAGCCGGATATGGCTTCCTATAGGTGGGCCTTTCTCCTCTTCTTGCTTCAGGCCCCATCATCTCTCTGATCATCCTTTGTAATGCCCCCACGTCATTCAGAGCATTGACAGGGTGGTGATTTCGCCCAGTTCCTGGGCGTGATCAATCCTGGGCTCCGCTCTGTATGGCCTGGGTAGAACTTCCTCCCTGTGTTCTTCCAGATCTGGATGATTCCTCCAGTTTGCCCCCAACCTGTTCCTTTCATTGTTGGCAAAAAGGTTATTACCCCTTCCGCCTCTTCTGCCTCTTGCAGGTGGAGGGAATGAATTGGGATCCATCCTTCTGGATCTATAAGGCAACACTGCTGGTGGCTCAGGCAGAAATGCCAAAGGTTGATCCTGTGGAATAGGGTGAGGTTCTGGCTGGTTCTGTTGCATCTGAACTGGTGCAGGGCCTTCTGGCCGAGCTGGGGCCTCACGTTCTTGGACGGAAAGGGCTTCTCCCCTCTGTCCTGGCTGAATCTCTCCATGCCCTGGTATTCCAGCAATCTGTGCAATGAGAGGGTTTTCCTAGTATGACCATGCTAATCCTGGTGGAGGGCCATAGGGAAGGTCTAGCTGTTGGAGAACAGAATCCGGATTTGGAATTCTAGCTATGCCAGCCTCACGGTCCTTCCAGAACTGCCTTTTGACCTGCCATTGCATCATGGCTGTCATATTATTGAGAGTGTCCTGGCTCCTTTGTGTTGGTTCTTCTTGTCGCAACATAGATTCCTGAATCAGGTTCATCCTTCTGGAGCCAGTCCTAGACCGTCTGCTCTCTGTGCTGCCGTGTGCTGAGTGCCTGGCATCACTTTCCTCTGACTCCAGTCCTTCCCTGAGAGCCACCTGGTTTATCTATATGGCGTGGTGTGGGTTCTGGCTAGAGCTTCCAATATTCATAAACTTGAGAGGAATTCTGTGAGAATATGTATACTGAGAAGTCCCACTGGCCGTGCCAAATTGTTCACCCGTTTTGTGATCACTCCTGTGGTGGAAGGGCAAAGTTCCCCACTGCCTTGAAAACCATTGACTGGTGAGCAAGTCAGCTTTCTTTAGTGTATGAGCGTGCCAATGCTAGCGATGATAATTCTAGCAGACTTATTCCATAAACAAGCGATTGTGAATTTGGGTGAGGAATATCTCCCAAGTAAGTTCTTTTCTTGCCTCAGACTGGTGAGGACTTTAACAATTTATCTCAGTATAAAGAGGTTGTTCTGGCTAGAATGGTTGATGGAATTTAAGCTGTCTTAGGCAGAACTGCCTTTTACAAAACTATAAACATAAATATCCAAGCTAGAAAGATGAAAGGATAGCTGGAACTCCATTTATGAATGGATAGGAGGTTCTGATCTGGGATGGACTGGAAATATATGGGCTGGACTGGACTGTTAACAACTTCAGCTGCTACGCTTCAGCTATAGATCGATACCAAAGGTTAATTTTGGCAGAGCTTTAATACACTTCAAGCTTTTGTGAGGCTTCTGAGTGGGCAGAACTGCGGCTTCTTCAGTCTGTAAGGGCAGAAGTGGCTGTTCTCGAGGACTTCAGTGGGCTAGAGACTGTATTGTAAAATTTGTTGAGGTTTTCATGTTTGGGGAAAGCTCAAGCTTTACCTGTCTTGGTTTTTTGCTAAACCAAATTTGTAACGAGAGAAATCTCGTTTTGAATGACTTATTTTCTAAGTCTGAACCTTGGGAATTCTGATCTAAAGCTGGTTTTCACTTGGAATTCAAGTGAGCTTCTGGTTGATTTTGAGTTGTTTGTTTGATTGATGACTTAAGTGTTGGATTGATTGTGTTCTTGCCCTGTTCACTCCTTCTTGTATTTATAAGAGATGTTATCTGGAGTAGGGTAATTCTTTTAAATAATGGGTGGCAATTTTCTTTAAAAAGGTCTTTCATTTTTAATTGTAAAGAATGGGGGTTTTGATTAATTTCTGGTAGATAAGCTCTCAATAGTCAGTTCTTAAGATCACTTCCCTGTTTTTCTTGAAAAAGAACCTAACCCCTCTTTTAATTCAAACTGCCCCCCCTGTGAGAACCGTGATGGTTAGTCTAATTCTCAGTTTTGAACAGGTCCCTGTTTTCCTGTTTATCTTTCTCTGAGATTGTGTTTGCTTATCTCTTTGGGAAAATCACCTTCTGAATAAAAGAAATATCTCTAAATATATTCATATGTAAGGGGATTTGATCTTTCAGAATTTCAGAGATGTCCCTTCCCAGTTTTGCCAGCTACTGACCCTCTCTAATCATCTTTGTAATGGCTGATTTTTGTTGACTTTTCCAAATCTGATAAAAGGGTGTCATGTGGTTTTTTGAAAAGAAATGGGTCTTTTCTTTTATCAAAATCGTGCTGGGTTTATTTTTGTCTGGAGTTCGAAGGTGACTTTTCTTTTGAGGCCCAAGTTTTGCTTGTCTGTTTTGATAGGTCTTGGGCTAGCCCTTTCTGGATTTTGGGCTTCTGTTTCCCCCCTTTTTTTCAAAGAGAAAACTGTTTGAGTTTTGTGGTTTTATTCTGGGCCTCCTTTGTTGGTCTAGGCGTGTGAATTTTAATCCCAAACAACTTCTTCTAGAAGACTCGAAATCATGAACCATAAAGTGTTCTAGAAACTACACTCCCACATCTTTCTAATGGTGTAAGGCTCATTAGCTGGTTCTTATTGAGCACATATAGTCGAATCCGTGAAATTGACTGATCTGTAGACATAGTTTTGAGCTAACTTGACTCCAAAATGCATTAAATGAGTCATAAAGCTTAATATGCTGAAATAAACACAAAAGAGATTTAAAGCACAAGTTTAATTAAAAAACATAATGAAATTCTAAGCTAGAATGGTACAAAATTATATACAATTATGCATTGATCAACAATTCTCATAACATGCGCCCACAATTCTACCAAATTATAATCAATATTGTTGGTTTAAATTATGTAGTTCAGTAGGATTCATAATCGTTATCAAAGGTTTGATGGCCTAAAAACAACTTGGATTGGATTATGCCTAATCCTTCTAAGACTAAGTATAGTAGGATTATGTCTAATACAATATTTAAGTCCATATAACAACACATTTCAATAATTAAATTCTTTAATTATGTGTAGTACCAAATGCATCATTTTAATCATGGGGAATCAAACCTAGGACCCCTAGTGCATTAGAAAATTTTGTATGAAACGGGGATAACACTAATTTGCTATCACCAATCAATCACATATTGTCACGTGAAAAAGTTATCTCGCATGGTATGCCATGATTGGCTAGGATAGCAAAATAGTGTTATCCCCATTTCACACAAGTGTTTCTCTTAGTGCAGGGGTAAATGCTCTTAAGCACTTCAGCGTACAAGTCCATTGCATGCCAAAAACATCATTAGACTATTGTTATCATTTCAAATCCAATCCAGCCCAATGTAATCTAATTCTACCCCATAATCCAATCCAATTAAAGTCACCAAACACAAATATATTGCAAAAATTAACTGTTTGATGATAATGTCAGCCCATCCTCATGAGACAATTAATAAAGCATCATCATTAGTCGGCAATAATCTTCGTAAATCACCCAAAACATGGACAAAAGATTAAACTAGCCAAACACCCTGTGAGAACATGAATTTTGACAACTAATCAGAAATTGACACGTGGAAAAATGTAACAACCCGATCCTGATTTTATTTTTAATTATTAATTTATTCTAAGAAAAGACAATTATACCCCTAAAGTATTTTATTAGGCTTAAAGTTGACTTGTTGACAGGGAAGGAATTTGCGAATTTGGGTGGTACCATTGCATAGAGCTCGACGATACAAGTTTGTAGACATGCAGCACATCCAATTCTGAGTTGTAACGAATGAGAAAAGGTTAAGAAACATAAGGACGTGATGGGAATTTTAGAATTTGTTACTACTACAGTACCGCTACAGTAATGCTACAGTCCCCCCGGGCCTCCCTATTTCTCTTCTTCCTCCTAGGGACACAACGAGAATTTCTGGGGGTTTAACTTTTGGGCAGCCAACTTCTCTCCTCCACCACCGCCACCACATGCCTCCGTTTTGGGTGGTACTAGTCCCAAAAGAACCGGGCCACCTTCCTCTTCCCATCCCGACCAACCTCAGCCGCTGGAACCACCGGTGCTGGCCGGAAACTGATGAAATCCAGGTTGTTTTGGACAGATTTTTTGGAAGCTCGTTTCGGGTGTTTCCAACGGCCAAATTTTGTGATCCAGGTATGCTTTCTCAACCTCTAGAGATGCTCTAGTTTCTGGTTGTGTTGGATAGGAGAAATTTCTGAGTTTTTTAGAGTAACTAAGTGATGGAAAATCTGCCTGTTTTCGGCCTCCGATTCAGACCACTTCCGTCCACTTTTTGGGGTAGGTCCAAGAACAAAAGTGGTTCCAAATAGGGTTTTTTTTACCTAGGGTAGGAGTTTTTCCGGATGCCAGAAATTTATCAAGCCACCCAAGCGTTTCCGGCGCGTGTGGCAGCGCGTGGGCAGAGTGGTGGTCCGAAATTAGGTTCTAAAATTATCCTTATGTTGTCACAAGCACGTAGGAATTCGCAGATCTCAATTCAGACAACGTTTAAACCCCGAATGGATCTCGCATGTTGTGCGATTTCCGGGTTCGTTATGTCTGAGCTGTTGGATCGTAGTCAATTTCTTATATGTCGATCTAGATAATTCTAGGCTCGTGTAGGATTCGACGGATTGTAAAACGGAGTCCCGGATACTCCAGAAACGTCAACCCTAGGGCTAGGTTTATAGTAATTGTCCGCTCGTGCGATCGTGATTAGTCCGACCGTCCGATCAAGACCAAACTCTCGAGACATGTGTCCTAGACATATTGGAACCTATGGGGACTTTCGGATCGGAATTTTGAGGTCGTGGACCCCACTGGGTCCAAAGTTGACTTTTTTGGACTTTATTGCTTTTATTGTTTGTGTGTGGGCTTTTAGGAAGTTCTTGTACATGCGGGTGCTCATTGATTTAATTATGGCATTAATTTTACGGATTAGATTACCATATCACTTATTATGAAATTATATAACTATGGAGTGAGTAGATATGATTGTATACATATGGATTGCTAAATTGTATACTTGTATTTATGTTATTTTGTATTTGGAGGTGTATTATAGTATGTGATGGTAAACCTAAAGGGTATTTTCGATAATTGGAGATTATGTAATATTGAGAATTCATTTCTGGAAAATTGAGAAGAGAATATAAGCAAGGTTTGTGAAACAAGAGGAACTTTGAGATAAGTTTCAGAATATGGTTTTTAAACCCACCTAAGGAGTCCCCCCAGTTGCCTTGAGACAGTTGTTATTTATGATAATGCCCACGAGTTTCGGGGATGCCTGAATCGTGTGGTGCGAGGATTGCGGCTCAGATTGAAGTGTTATCTTTGAGACTTGTGAGGAAAGCGGCTCGGTTAACCTTATGGTTCTGAGATCTGTGAGGATGGAATTGACAGACTAACATTGGAATTGACGGTATTAAAGGAATTGACGGATCAGAAATGGGGGTACGCCTAGGTGGAGAGAATTTAAGTTATGAGATGCTTTTAAACTAAATTGAGGATTTTATATAGTTACCATTATTTTCTTAAGCGTCACCTTTGTTTTACAAGCGATAGATGGATATATATATATAGATTCTAATCAAGTTATTGATATATATATATAAATACATATATATATATATTAATTTATGAACTTTACTTGAGTTCGATACAAGGGTGTTCGGAGCTTATAAATCTTTAACTTATTTTATTTTATTTTATTTTATTATGTTGATTTATCTTTTATCTTCCATTATTTTATATAGTATCAAATAGCTTAAGTTTTTCTAGCATATTTTGCCTCACGAGTCTTAGACATATCTGGACCGTGGGAGCGAGAATTGCGGATCATGTTGACTAGATGCCTCCTGAGTCCAATGAGGATTACAAGTCAGGACGTGTCACCATTGGTGCCACGAGAAATTGATGGTTATGGCTTTCCAAGCATGATTACCTGATATAAATGTTTTTATTTCTTCAATTGATTATATTGTCAAGCAAGTAATGTCAGGAAGCTTGAAGTAGGAAGCTGAGAATAAATAGAAGCACTATGTGTCCCTTAGTAAGGGTACGTTGGCAGCCTAAAGCTACAAGGTGCATCCACGAGTTGGAGTCCTTAAGATTGCTAATATACTATGGATGTTCTAAAAGTTAGAATAAGTTCCAGTTGATAGAATGATTTACTCGAATTACTGAGCCCTAGGGGTAGAATGATATGATGTTTGATTTTCTTGGGTATACTTTAATACATGCTGAATGTTTGGGATATATAAATGTTTGTTGACAGGTGGAAATTTTGGGAAATGTTCAATTTACATGGGAGACACTGCCAAATTTTCGACAGAAGCCAAACTCGAAATAAATTGAATTTTGAATAGAAGGGCAATTAAGTCATTTGTGCCAAGCACCCATCAGACGTCAGACACACACAGGGTTCAGCTCGGATTCCAAAGTGGAGTTTGGGTCGGGTCCTGTCAAAAAATGAATATTCTTTAGGTCAAATAATTGTGCTAATTAAATCCTATTTAATTAGCCAATTATCCTGATTTAAGATAGGGATATCTCCCTAAATCAAGGATCCGATTTACACCAAGTCTTCTTGATATTATCGTGTCATCTCATTTAAGGAAAAAAATAATACAAAATTAGTGAAATACCCATTCCTAGACATGAAACACACCCAAAATAAATCCAAAAATCGACAGTTGTCAATTTTTTAAATTTAATAGCAATGTTGAATTATTGTTTTGCCCTTTTGCCCAAAATAAACCCAGCTCCAAGGCTCAATTAAGATAATCAACGATTGCCCCTTCAAAATCTCGAATCTGGTTTGTGAGAAATCGACGAGCGGCCGATTTAACTAACCTCACCATCGGAGCCGTAGCTCTAATTTTCATTGCTTTCTGGATCTCTCACTTGCTTTCTCACAGATCTTGCAGCTATTTCCGGATCTCATAGCTCAATCTCTCTCATCTTAGTCACAGGCAAGGTCGTTTTATAACTCAAGAGGTGGACTCGGGTCCTGATCCATGAGGTTGACTCTTTCCTCCACCGACAATGATGCGTTGTAGAGGCCTTTTCTCCGTTCGGTGAGATCATCGAATCGAAGATCATCAACGACCGTGAGACCGAGAGGTCCAGGGGCTTCAGGTTCGTCACTTTCAACAACTAGAAGGCCATAAGTGACGTGATCGAAGGCATAAACAACTAGAACCTCGACAGCCGTAACATCACCGTATATGAGGCCCAATCTCGTGGAAGCGACGGTGGCGGCGGCGGTAACGGAGGTTACAGACGCGGAGGATATGGTGGTGTTGGCTACGGAGGTGGCGGCATTGGCTACTGTGGTGGCGGTCATCGTGAAGGCGGTGGGGATAGCGTCTCAATGACGATTCAGTATAGACCACTTAGGTAATTTGTATTTGATATTGAGTTTTGAGTTTTGATTTTTTTTTTTTTTTTTTTTTTTTTTTTTTTTTATATTTGGATTGATTTCAGATTCGGTTTGGTTGTGAATTTGATCTTGTGTTTTGGTTTGAGCTGTGGTTAAAAATCTGTGATGTTGAATTGAGTTTTCATATTAATTGAGGTATCCTTTTTCAGTTGAATCTGAGTATATTCGTGCTGGAGGGTTGGGTTAGTACTTGGAATTTCTGAGTTGGATTAGGTTTTAGCTTAGTTGAATTAATTTTTTTTTAATTATCAAGGATTTACAACTCTTCCAAGGTTGTTTTGTGAGTTGACTGCAATTTTCATTGTAGACTTACTTTGCAGCTACACTGCTGTGAAAGATGGGCTTTTTCAAAATAGAAAAATAGAAAAACTAATTGCCATATGCCCTGGACCATACTAAATACCTTTGAGTCTTTTAGTTCTCTGCTTCTTTGCCTTAAGAAGCTACAGGCTTGTTTAATTTGTGTTTACTTTTTAGTCAAGAGCAGCTCAAAAATTTTAGATTGACATTTCATGTGGTCAAGGTCTTTGGGTCCTAGACTAATGTGCTTTCAGAAGCTATGTGCTAGAGTGAGGTTAGATTAGTCTAGATGTAATGAAGTAACACTTACAGTTAGTAGAAAACAGTATCTAAAACTTACTTTCAGAAGCTATGTGCTAAAATGAGGTTATGCGAGCTAGTTCTAACTTTCTAACTATGTGTTGTGCTCTCTGTTGTTTATGGAATCCAATCTATGCATGATGCCTAGGGATTTTCGTCTTTTATGTTGTTGTGATCATAAGTTCAATACAAAAAACCCCACTTTGAATCTCAAGAAAACTCCCTAGATGGATCTTCATATCTCAAAAGAAACGCTTTAACTATCTAGAAAACTGGAAATGCTCCAACAGTAACACTTTTTCATTGTTGATGCCTTTTGATGTTAGTTTCATTGATACATGAAACAATTACTAGTTCTGTTCAATTATAATTATCAAGTTTACGACGCTTGTTGATGCTCTTTTTCGGAGAGGGTCAACTTAGAGATAGGGGTTCGTCTTTAGCAAGAGAAGGGCCTGGGCCTTCAGTAAAAAGGCTAGCCTACAGAAGACAAAAATAGGAGAAGCAGTCGTTAAGCTTCGGACACCGGTGTGGTGCCGGCCGAAGGCTCTCCGATGCTTGAGTCAGCTAGGGGCAGTGACTATCGCAAAGTAACAGTAATAGTGGAAGAGAAGTTACCCCTTTTTCTTGGTTACTGTTCCTTATTTATAAGGAAATAGAAGTAGGAGGTTTGCACAAAGTTTCGATGTGGGACTTTGTGCAAGTCGCTGTGATGATGACACGTGTCTCCTGTGTTTTAGGTTTGGCAGTTCGGAGCTTCGGCAGGTGGTTGTCCCTTTGGAAGAGCATCTCCCTTTGGCAGGGAGGAAGGCAAGTCTACCTTGGTGTTCAGTCACGCTTGGTTAATTATGGTGTAAACAGTAGTCCCCCAAGTTGTCAATCAAGAAGTGGCTTCTGGTTTGGGAACTTGTGAAGAGGTTGTGTAATTCAACCAAGCGTGTCAGGCTGGCGGGTGCTGAAGGTAGTCCCTTAGTCCCCCCAAGTTTGAAAACTAGAAGACACCTCTTTTTTTTTTTTTGTTTCGGTTCATGGGGGTGCCGAAGGTGGCCTTCCGAAGGTAAGGTATGACGTCACGGGTACCTTCCGAAGGGAAGGTGTGACGTCATCGCGAGTTGCGAGGTCCTTCCAAGCTTCAGAAGGGAGCCTTCCGAAGGGAAGGTGTGACGTCATCATGCCTTCCGAAGGGAAGGTGTGACGTCATCGCGAGGGTTCCTTCCAAGCTTCGGAAGGGAGCCTTCCGAAGGGAAGGTGTGACGTCATCAGGGGTCCTTCCAAGCTTCGGAAGGGAGCCTTCCGAAGGGAAGGTGTGACGTCATCGCGAGGTCTCCTCCCAAGCTTCGGAAGGGAGCCTTCCGAAGGGAAGGTGTGACGTCATCGCGTGTCGCGAGGGGTCCTTCCAAGCTTCGGAAGGGAGCCTTCCGAAGGGAAGGTGTGACGTCATCGCGAGGTCTCCTTCCAAGCTTCGGAAGGGAACCTTCCGAAGGGAAGGTGTGACGTCACTGCGAGGTCTCCTTCCAAGCTTCGGAAGGGAGCCTTCTGAAGGGAAGGTGTGACGTCATCGCGAGGTCTCCTTCCAAGCTTCGGAAGGGAGCCTTCCGAAGGGAAGGTGTGACGTCATCATGCCTTCCGAAGGGAAGGTGTGACGTCATCATGCCTTCCGAAGGGAAGGTGTGACGTCATCGCGTGTCGCGAGGTCTCCTTCCAAGCTTCGGAAGGGAGCCGTTCGAAGGGAAGGTGTGACGTCATCATGCCTTCCGAAGGGAAGGTGTGACGTCATCGCGTGTCGCGAGTGGTCCTTCCAAGCTTCGGAAAGGAGCCTTCCGAAGGGAAGGTGTGACGTCATCAGTGCCATGTGGCAGTGGTATAGAAACGTCTGTTCGTGGAAATTGAGGCGTCCCAACGGTATGATGAGTTATTGCTTGGAGCAAGAATCGAGGGGTCCTTCGTATGCCTTTAAAAGATTGTGGAGGGCTGAAGGAGTGAACACTTTGATTTTTCGAAAGAGTTTAGTAGACGAGCAAGGGCGATTTCCGAGAAGATTTAGGGACGGCGGAGCGATTTCCGGCGAGGCTTGAGAAGGTACCTTCGTGAGCCAGGCGATTTCCGGCAACCGTGAACGGTGGTGATAACAAGGTATGCCTTGTGCTCATTCTCCCTTTGTGGATTGAAATGCCTCTTTTGCTTGAGTTTTGCATGAATTTGGTATGAACGTAGATGAACTTGCATGAACATATTAAGAACATGCCTAGGCTCTTGTTTTCAATCTTCGCATGCCCCTTAGTTTCCCTTTTTGTGTTTGTAGATGTCTGATAATTCTGAAAGAGAAAGTCAAAGCTCTCCAAGTCCCCATGCCTTCAGTGGGGAAGAGTTTGAGAGTGGTAGCCATAATGAAGACTTGGGTACTGATGGGGAAAGTACTGGGTCTGAACGTGTGGTGGAAGGGCTGATAGTGGAGGGAAATAGGGTTGGGGGAGAAGAGCAGTCAAGGAGTTCTGGGGGGGAAGCCTATAGGGAGATGCAGAGGAACTATGTGACCCTAGAAGCTTGTGCAAACTGGGTGTTGGGGATAACCCAGGCACCAGAGGCTAGTGCAAGTGGGCGGGCTGGGCCATCGGGGTGTGGTACGGTGGTAGTAGCATCCGCCGATGTGGGCATTCCAATAGGGGTTCCACTACCGAAGAAAAATATGATGAGTCTGTATGATCTAGAGTCACTGAAGGCAGACTATGCTATACCTGATTGTGTGGGGCTGAGGTTGCCCATACCTACTGAAGCGGCTAGATACCCCCCCGAGGGTTGCGTTATGGTGTTCTCAGCTATGTACAAACATGGATTGAGGTTACCATTGCATCCTTGGGTGCAAATGATGCTTTCCAGATTGGGCTATGCCCCTGGGCAGTATAATCCCAACTTCTGGTGTATACTGCACAGGGTGTACATAGCATGGTGGTTGGCGAAACGAGGGGAGCCCTCCTTTGAGCAGTTCATGCATCTGTACTCAGTGTCCAGGCAACAGGGCAACTTTGGCTGGGTGCAGGTCAACTGTCGAAAGGCGAAGGAGAGGGGATACTTTATAGGGCAACCACCATCGTCGCAGAAGACGTGGCGAAATCGATGGTTCTTTGCCTTTGGTGATTGGGAGTGCTGGCCTGGGACGACTGTCAGCAAACATGTGCCTACCCATTTTCAATCTATAGGTCTTTGGTTATAACTCATGTCTTTGTGTTTGAATGTGTTGGTATGAATATGTATTGTCGTCTGAAGCTTGTGAGAACTAACGCCTTTGTCCATGTGCAGGTTCTGTGAAGTGTAGGCCAGTGTCCAGGGAGGAAGAGGAAGAGATAGAGCTGGTGAGGAGACAGGTGCCCCAGGAGGCGCGTGAGCTGAAGAATATTGTGACACCAGCCCTTCTTCTACAGTCGGGGTTACTTCAAGGAAGTAAGTATTGGCCCACTCCCTCCCTTTTATGTTTGTTGTTGTATATCTTCTCACCTCTACTTCGGTGTTGTTTGTGCAGTGGCTGAGGTATCGAAGAAGGTGGTGACCGTGGTTGAGACGTCACCGAAGGTAGTGGTGGATCCGGAGGAGAGGCAACGAAAGTTGCAAGAGAGGAGAGAGAAAGATAGGGCCAATAGGGCCAAGAAGCAGGCAAAGGGGGCCGCCGAGGGGACAGCAGCTCGGGCTGCTGGGAAGCGGCCTCGGACGGAGGAGGATGAGCAGTTGGCTGAGCTGGAGAAGAAGCGGAGGGGACTCGAGTCTTCGATCCATGACGTCATGGGTGGAACAGTTTGCGGCCACTCTGTCTGCCGAGGCCACGAGTCCTTCGGAGGCTGAGACGCGGGGAGGTGCCGATGCTAGCGGAGGGGAGTCGACCGTGGATCCTGACACAGCTGCCGAGGAGGAGGCGGACGACCATGCTGATGCCTGAGGGTTTGTTTGTATTTTTGCTATGATGTACCCAGTTATTTCAGACGTAGTCTTTTGTCATGTATGGATATTTCCCCGCCCTAAGGCAGGGTTACTTTGATTTTTATGATAGCGCGGTACCCTTTTGCCTTATACATTCTGCCATGTTCTGAAGTGTGAATGAGTAGAAATGGGGCCCACTTGGGTGCTTCTATTAGATGGGTGCCGAAGGGCAGAAAGTACAATGGTGGGGTTGAGTCAAGGCTCAAGACCGAAGTATAAGAAAACATAATGGCCTAGGGTCTAGGTATGTTTACTTGTAGTAGTACTTGAGATGGTCGGCGTTCCAAGGGTGAGGCAACATTTTGCCCTTGTGGTCCCGAAGCTGATAAGTCCCGGGGCGGCAAACCTTGGTGATCTCATATGGACCTTCCCACGTAAGGCCCAGGGTACCCTCATTAGGATTCTTAGTGGCTAAGGAAACCTTGCGCATGACCCAGTCCCCAGTTATGAAAGCTCGAGGTTTAACTCTGGAGTTGTAATACTTGGCAATACGCTGCTTGTATGCGACGTTGCGCATGTTGGACTGGTCACGAAGCTCGTCGATGAAGTCGAGGTTGAGGGCCAGCTGCTCGTTATTAGCCTCGGCCTCGTAAGTGGAGGTTCGGTATGTTGGCTGGCCAATCTCCACTGGTGCCACCGCTTCGGTACCAAAGGAAAGGGAAAACGGTGTTTCTCCCGTTGAGGTACGAAAGGTGGTGCGGTAAGCCCAAAGAACCTCTGGCAGTAGCTCGGGCCAGCAACCCTTGGCTTGGTCAAGCTTGGTCTTCAGGGTTTTCTTGATAATTTTGTTCACGGCTTCGACCTGGCCATTGGACTGAGGATGGGCTGGAGAAGCGAAGCAAAGTTTTATCTTGAGGTTGGAACAAAACTGCCTAAATTTTGCGTTGTCAAATTGCCGGCCGTTGTCTGTGACGATGGCGTTGGGGATGCCGAAGCGGCACACGATATTTTGCCAAACGAACGTCTCGATGCGAGCCGCAGTGATGGTGGCCAGGGCCTCAGCTTCAGCCCATTTAGTGAAGTAGTCGACGGCCACGGCTGCGTACTTAACCTGGCCTTTGCCCTCGGGCATAGGTCCGATGAGGTCAAGTCCCCACTGGGTGAATGGCCAAGGAATGACCATGGCTGTTAAAGGTTCAGCTGGGAGTTGAGGGATATTGGAAAACCGCTGACACTTGTCACAGTGTGAAGGCTTGGGCATCAGTGTGAAGTGATGGCCAGAAGTATCCTTGCCTAATGGCCTTATGCGCAAGTGAGCGGGCGCCTGAATGACTACCACAGATGCCTTCGTGGATTTCCCGGAGGACATAGTGGCCTTCCTCTGGGTTCAGGCACCGAAGGTAGGGTAAGCTGAATCTGCGCTTGTACAGGGCGCCATTAATGATCAGGTATCGGGCGGAGCGATAGCGAACACGCCGCGCCTCAGCAGGGTCAGCGAGTAGAGTCTAGTTCTGCAAAAATTGGAGGATGGGGTCTATCCATGTTGGGCTGTGATCGATGGCGCAGATGAGTGGTGTCCGTGTGCTTGGCTGATCCATGATTTCCATGTGGATATTGCGGCCAAGACCCTGCTCTATGGCTGAGGCTAGTCTAGCTAGGGCGTCGGCATGGCTATTCTCCGAGCGTGGTACCTGGCTTATGAAGTAAGCGTTGAAGGTTGCAAGCAAATGGCGGGTATGTTGGAGGTAGGCTGTCATGGACACGTCTTTGGCAGTGAAGTCCTGGTTGACTTGGTGTACAACGAGCTGTGAGTCGCTGAAAATCTGAATTTGCCTAGCGCCCATCTCCTTGGCTAACCGGAGGCCAGCTAAGAGTGCTTCGTATTCGGCCTCATTGTTGGAGGCGTGGAATTGGAAGCGAAGGGCGTACTCCAGGACAGCCTTGTCTGGAGAGATGAGGACAAGGCCGGCTCCGCATCCCTGGGCGTTGGAAGAGCCATCCACATACAAAGTCCATAAGGGCTGTGTTAAGTCTAGGGTGCCGTTGCTGGTGACGTGGACCTGGCTCGGGGTGGGAGTGGGCTCCATCGTGATCTGTGGACTAGCCACGGCATGGGGTTCAGTGAATTCAGATATAAAGTCAGCCACGGCCTGGCCCTTCGTGGCTGGGCGGGTTTGTAGTGGATATCAAATTCGCCAAGCTCAATGGCCCACTTGACTAGCCTCCCAGAAGTCTCCGGCTTCTGCAACACTTGCCTAAGTGGTTGGTTGGTCAGGACATGGATGGTGTAAGCCTGAAAGTACGGCCTGAGGCGCCGAGCCGAAACCACCAGGGCGAATGCCAATTTCTCGATGTCCGAGTACCGAACCTCGGCGTCCTGGAATGCTTTGCTGACGTAATGCACTGGGTGCTCAGTCTGGATGAGCACAGAACTGACCGCTGTAGCCGAGACGGAGAGATAGATCATGAGGGTGTCTCCAGGCTCGGGTGTTGACAATAAGGGAGCCCGGCCCATATACGCCTTCAGCTCGTTGAAAGCTTTGTCGCACTCAGCGGTCCAGGTAATACTCCGCTTGCTACCCTTAAGTGCCTTGAAGAAGGGGGCGCAGCGATCAGTGGCCTTAGAGATGAATCTAGTCAGGGCTGCGACTCGCCCGGTAAGGCTCTGGATGTCCTCAATTGTCCTGGGTATTGTCATGTCTAATATGGCCTTGATCTTCTCTGGATTGGCCTCAATTCCCCTTTGGCTAATCATGAAGCCAAGGAATTTGCCTGAAGCCACCCCAAATGCACACTTGGTGGGGTTGAGCCTCATCCTATACTGCTTCAGAATGGTGAACATGGCGGAGAGGTTGGGGATGTGCTAGTCAGTAGTGCGACTCTTGACGAGCATGTCATCAACATAAACCTCCATGGTGTTGCCAATTAGGGGAGCGAAGATTCCGTTCACCAGACGCTGATATGTGGCCCCGGCATTCTTGAGGCCGAATGGCATGACCTTATAGTAGTAAAGGCCACGATCCGTGATGAAGGAGGTATGGGCTTGGTCCTCAAGATGCATGAAAATCTGGTTGTACCCCGAGTAAGCATCCAGGAAGCTGAGAAGGGCATGGCCAGCTGTGGCGTCAACTAACTGGTCGATGCGGGGTAGGGGGAAGCTATCCTTCGGGCAGGCCCGATTGAGGTTGGTGTAGTCTACACACATGCGCCAGCCTTTTGTGTCCTTTCGGACCATCACCACATTGGCCAGCCAGGTGGGATAGTCCACTTCCTTGATAAATCCAATGCTAGTTAGCTTGTCCACCTCTGCCCTCATGGCCTCATATCGCTCTGGGTCATAAGCACGACGCTTCTGCCGAACGGGTCGAACGGCAGGATTAATGCTTAGCCGGTGGGATATGATCTCAGGTGATATGCCAGGCATGTCATTGTACGACCAGGCGAAGACCTCAGAATTAAGGCGAAGGAAGGCGACAAGATCAGAACGAAGCTCCTGTGAGAGAGAGGTGCCGATCCTGACCTGCCGGTCCGGGATGTTTTCATCAAGAGTAACCAGCTCAAGGTCTTCCATAGGTTCGGCCTGTGGGGTGGCAGATTCCTCCCTAGGGTCCTCTGGACGCTCAGTTCCAGCTTGAACCGGTGCTGGAGCCTGGGTTACGGCGAGGGCCTCGCCCCGATGTTGGCGGTTGGTGGACCTTACTGCCGAAGCGTAGCAGCTTCGGGCGCCAAGTTGGTCTCCGCGCACCGTGCCTGTGCCATGAGGTGTAGGAAACTTGAGCAGCAGCATATGGGTGGAGATGAAGACCTTCATTTGGGCCATGGCGGCCGAGGATGACATTGTAGGCTGTGGGGCAGTCGATAATGAGGAAGGGAGTGGTGATTGTCCTCCGCTGGGGTGCCGATCCAATAGAGATTGGGAGATGAATGCTTCCAATGGGCTGGACCACCTCACCAGAGAAGCTCACTAGGGGTGTGATGCTTCGGTCGAGCAGGTGAGATGGGACCTGGAGCTCGCTGAAGGCCTCAGCAAACATCACACTGACCGAACTGCCAGTGTCCACCAGGATACGCCCCACATCAAAGTTAGAAATGTCGGCGCGGATAATGATTGGGTCATCGTGAGGGAGGATAACACCGCGCTCTTCCTCCTCACAGAAGGTAATAGGAGCCCAGCCTGATTTGTGGGTCTTCGGCAAGCGTCCCTGCTCAGCGCTAAAGACCTGGTGCGCATAGGTGGAGCGGACATAATGTTTGATGGAGTTGTTGGAGGTTCCAGCTAGGGTGGGACCACCACTGATAGTTGAGATCATGTTTATCTGACGTTGGTGAGGGTTAGGTGGGGGTGGGAGATTGTGCACATATTTATCCAGTTTCCCATCGCGAATGAGTCCTTCGATGATGTTGCGTAAGGCAACACAAGATTCGGTGTCGTGCCCACCGAACTGATGAAAGCGACAGAAGACACCCGTGTTGGGTGTGGGCTTGCTGCCTGGTCTCCGCGGGGGAGGCTTGGGTATTATAGGTGCCTCGTGCACCAGGACATTTTCGTAGGTGGTGTTCAGGGTGGTGAAAACCTCGAACCTGGGCTTGGGTGAGAAGGGAAGTGGAGCCCGATCGCTTGCCCCGTGCGGGTTGACCCCGCTGGACTGGTGGTGGTTGTTATGTCTGCCCCGTTTGTTATTGTTGAAGGTATGCTGGTAGTTATCCTTCCGTTTGGGGTGCTGGGTACCCTGGGTACTTGGGGCGGTAGTAGAATGTTGAGGCGGGGCTGAGGTGGGTGCTGAAGCAGGTTGGGGATCAACGAAAGGATGATGTGCCGGGGTGGCCGGGCCACGCTTGGAGTTGAAATACTCAGCTTTGGATTGCACTGCTGCCTGCTTCATTAATTCAGCATACGTGTTCCAAGGGTTGCTGTGCACAAGGTACCGAAAGTTAGACTCTCGGAGGCCACTCTTGAAAGCACCGAAGGCGGCACGATCATCGGTCTCTGGGCAGCGGGAGTACTCGTGGCTGAACCTGGCTGCATACTCTCGAAGGGGCTCATCCTCACCCTGCATAAGCATGTACAGGTCATCCGCAGAGTAGAGGCGATCAGTTTGGATCATGAAATGGTCCAGGAAGGCCTGCTTCAGACTGTCAAACGTATTGATGGTGCGGGGGCTCAGCCTGTAAAACCAATTCAGGGCCGCCCCGCTGAGGGTAGATGGGAAGATGAGGCACATGCCTTCGTCCGTTAAGCCCTTGCATCCCATGGCAGACTGGAAAGAATTTATGTGGGTGAGGGGATCCTCTGTGCCAGTGTAGAAGGCGATGCGGAGGGGCTGGATTTCCTTCTCTTGGTGGTAATTAAGGATGCGTTCGGTAAAGGGCCCAGGTCGCGGCTTCGCCCAGAGGGGTTGGTGGTTGCGCTGCTGCTCATTCTCCAGGCGCCGGACCTTCTCAAAGAGAAGTCTCATTGCCGGGTCGGCATGAGGGAGAGTCTCGGGTGCTGGAGGTCTGGTGTGTGTGTGGCCAGGAGCTAGATAAGGGTCAGGTCCACCGAACTCCTCGGTGTGATAAGACTCGTGCTCTTCTGAATAATCATGCCCCCAGTCATCCGAGTCCCCCATACCTTCTCCTGTAGGCACATGGGTTGGTTTTGGTGGGGGGCCTAGGTGTGTCACCTTTGGGTCTTGGAGATTAACGGGGATAAGAAGGGGTCCCGTCTGACGGTCCAGGATACGGTCCCTGCAATCCCTGTAGACCTTCGTTGGCTCATGAGGCCGGTTCCTCGGCGGGGAGATACGGAGAAGCCGTGACTTGGTCGTCTCCGGATGGAGGGGGTCCTTACCCTTGCTGGGCCTAGGCTAGATTGGGGGACTATGGTGGGAATGCTCCGGCTGGTTTGGCTGTGTGCGTTCAGGTTCCGGGGTAAGGCTGCGTTGGGAGCCCTGGGCTTGGTTCCTTTCCCAGTTACGCAAAGTCACTTTGAGCGACCAATATTTTTTCGTCGCGCAAAGTCTCTTTGCGCGACGAATGAAAAAATTTCGTCGCACAAAGTCTTTCTCCACGAAATCTGCGCGACGAAGTTTCTGTCGCGCTAAAATTTGTGCGACTATAATGTATTTTGCGCGACGAAATGTTCTTCGTCGCGCAAAGTGAAAAATGTAGTAGTGGAAGTTCAACACTTATTTGTTATGTAGTAAATGTTTTTGGGTATGTTTATAAAGTGAATTCTATATTTTGGGCTTTTTTATCAAATTGGGTTGGGGTTATTTTGGGTGCTTTTTGAGGTTTTTTTTGTTGGGCTTTATAGTGGCAGTGTTGTGATTTATTGGAACTTCAACACTAATTTGTTATTTAATAAATGGGTTTTGGGTGTGTTTATAAAGTTTTTTCCATGTAGGTTTTTTTATTTATAATTTCAGCCTTTATTTTGGGTATATTAGTGAAGCTCCCAAAAAAAAATCATATAAATAGGGAATTATTCTCCACAAACTTTACCAACGATGGAGACTCTATATAAAGATTGCATCTCACCACAAATGAGGTAATTCCAAAAATCCTAGCAAAGCTCACGCTACTCTCTTTCTCTCTCCCTTTCTCATGGCTTCGCAGTCATCTCCTTTCGCAACGCACGTGCCTCCTCCTTTCACATAGAGGAAAGCTTCATCCTTTCAGTTCAATCTGCATCTCCTTGAGACCATTTTATGGACTTAGGTATTAGAGGGCCTTTGGCCAACACCCCTCGGGTGTTCTCCCCTGACCGCATTATTTTGTAGGATTCAAGGAAGAAGAAGATCAAGATAGAAGAGTGGATCATCCATGAATATTCTCCTCAAAATTTATTTGTGCAAACAAATTGGTGCTTTCATTAATATTCTGAACGAAGGAAATCCGTTTCCAACTTTTCATCATTCATTCGAAGCTTTTCAAACAACCATGGCTGGAAGCATAATCGCAAGGATCAAGGCCACTACGACGCATTGATCCGAACCATTCCCAAGGGACAACATCGAACCCACCTTAAGGTGTAGGCCTGAGCCCACCTTAAGGTGTAGGCCTGAGCCCACCTCACAATCTAGTAGTCGAAGCCACCACTCCTCTTCATGGCCTTAGGCCGAGGCTAACTTCCCATCTCACCGCCCCATGGCCGTCAGCACAGCTCCAGCACACGGCCTCATGGCCAAGACCACGGCTCCACCTTATGCCCACACGGCGAAGCTTAGAAATTACCCTCACTGCCCCACAGTCCGATCTGGAGTTCACCTCCACAGTGGCACCGCTACACTCAGTGGTACCTTCACTCATGCCAATCGTGCTGCTGTCACGAAATAGAGCCCCATCTTGGAACAAATGTTGTTCCCTTATTTCCTTCAAGCTTGACATTTGTGGTTCCTCGGCACAGCTCCAACGATGGGCGAACGCACCGGTAGAGGACACGAGAGGTTCCAATTAGGTCGAGTATGAATCAACAAGCAAGGATGAGGACAATAAAAAAAAAGTACCAGCATGATGGCATGTCACAAGCATCCACGAGTCACGACAAAGTAGGTCGAGTATCTATTCGAGATTAGGCCCGCAAACCAATGTCCACTTAATGTTGAGGGCATAGTTTGATGTCCATGCCCTCTTGGGCCCTCAAGGAAGCGTTCATTTGAGGTTAGGCCAACAAGGAGACCAGCCCGTAGCCCACTTCATGGAGAGTTGAGGGAGTATGCTCACTGACTCACATCGAAAGGGTAAATTCTAGGCTACGTGCCACAAAAAATACTTCACAAGCTCAATCCACTAATACACTGCACTGATAGGGCAGCTGAGGAGGACAACACTTTTTAGCCAATGAGGAGGTTGACTAATGACTCCAACGCCATAGACGCCCTCAACAAGAACCGCAATCGTTGCGAGTGTAGGACGTTGAGAAACTTGTGAATGATCAACTCTGGGACCTAAAAGTCTGAGGAGACATGGAAGACGCCCTACATAAAGAGGCAGACTAGGTTAATTCCTTGTCATTCACTGATGAGATTAAGCAAGCAGCTCCACCAAGGCGATTCGTGACACCTACCTTCATACCATTCAAAGGGGATTCTGATCCCGAAAGCCATTTTAAGCAGTTTAGTAGTATCATGATAATCTATAAAGGCGACGATACACTTCAAAACAATCTCAACAAATGATTTCGTTGGCATGTTTCATGACCATAACCTCGTCGTCATAGCAAACATGTTGGTTCTGATATTATAATGGATATTTATACGGCAGTGTGATGATGGTGGGTAATTCTTCATCGGATGATGGTGTTGCTTGCTTGGTTTCTCCATCAAAGGATGGTGGTGGTGGTTTGGTTTCTCATTTTTGTCCTAAATATTGTTTAACTCATTTTTAATAAACTAAGGCCTCGTTTGTCTCGAATTATTGTTTTAGCATGGACTATACTTAGGGACTGTCCTCAATTGGCTAGGCTTGGTTTAGGCTAAATAAGACTTATCTGGTGTTTGATGTAAAGCCAGACTAAGAAACTGGATAATGTTAAAATAACATAAATAATAAATGTATCACCTCAATTTTTAATTTTTCACTAAAATGCATCAATCTACCAAAATGTTTTTGTCTTTTTTATTTTTTATTATTAATATCTTATCCAAAAAAAAAGATATACTAAAAAAATAAAATAATATTACCTAAAATTATCTTAAACCAAAAAAATTAAAACAAACCCAACCATCGGTTATAAAACAAAAAACAAAAAAAAGCACCACCCTATTAGGCCCAACCCCAATTACCCACACGTTCCCATCCATCTCTTTTTTTTCCTTCTCTCTCTCTCTCTCTCTCTCTCTCTCTCTCTCTCTCTCTCTCTCTCTCTCATGGTTGGTGGTGATGTGATGGTTTGATTTTGTGTGTGTACTACAGTTTCAAGGTTACATAGAGTTATATTTGAACTGACATAATGGGTGGGATGGGGTTCAATTGGGTATGGATGGTGGTATCACAGGTGTAGATAGAGTTTGACTGACTGGTGGTGACAGTGGGGTTTGGGGCACATGCAGGCTTATTTGTCGCTCCCCCCATAAGAAGTTGTTTTTGGTGTGGCTGACATTAGCAATCCCCATTTAAAACTATAATCAAGTGAAAACAAACATAGGTTAAAATTTTATCCAAGCCAATTCGAACTTATCTGGTGTAAGTATAAGATAGAGAGAGAGAGAGAGAGAGAAAGAGAAAGAGTTTAACTGTCCAATTCTTTCTATGGTCATATTTAAAACCAACTTTAATAACAACTCTTGCACTTCTATGCACCGTCCTCATCCCCCATCGCCTCTCTCTCTCTCTCTCTCTCTCTCTCTCTCTCTCTCTCTCTCTCTCTCTCTCTCACTGACGCAAAACCCCCTCCTCCACCCAAAGTCACACCCCACCAACCTTCCAAAACCCCCCACCTTCATTTATTGGCATCCAAAGTATGACCTAGACTCTGAAGTTGAATTCAAGGTTTTTTTTTCTTTATCATGCTTTAAACATTTAATTTTACTTTGAAAAAAACAAAACCTACCTTAATTTAGACATGGAATAGCATGTTGACCCTTCACAACTTCAAAATTGTTGCTGCAAGCTTCCAGCGTTATTTGCGTATAATTTACAACTTTTTAAACCAAATGCCCCACAAAGCATTACTTTGGGCTTTGTACTGTCATGACTTTTATTTAAAATTATTACATTTGTTACAGGAGCACAAATGGGAGTCACCACTTCTACAATTTATCATTATTTTATTTCATGCCTTTGTCCTTCTTCATTTATCATTACTTTATTGATTGCTTATTTTACTGAACACAAAAGACATATCGGGTGGAATGAAATCATGCAATATATGTCAAATTGCCACGTAAGTCATCAAATTTTAATTTAATGTTTTATATTTAATCTAAGAGCATCTCAAAGGGAGATGTCAAATACCAAACATCAAATTTAAATTTGATGGCGGATGTGGCAATTTTACATCTTACACAGCTTTACACTCCAGCCGATATGTCAAATTAAATTCTTATTTTATTACATTTTGGTGTTGATTTATTTTTAATTAAAAGAAAAGAAAAGAAAAAATAATAAAATATTCATTTGACATCTTGCTTTTGGGATGTCAAAAATAACATCTCAACCTCCAGCCTTCATTCCATATCAGCTTTGACACATCGCTTGGAGTAATGTGAGATGTTATTTCTAGCCGTTAAATGTCTATGTAGCACTTTTGATATATCGGTTGGAGATATTTTTTTACAACTTGAGCAAGAAGCCTTTGTCAGAAAGGAGGAGCCACATAATTCAAGAAAAACTTATTTACAACATGGATAGCACTGTTTTACTATCCCCGCCCTATAATGTTATGTCATGTAGAAGTGTTAACACGCGTGTCACAATGTCAAAGCGTTATTGACCGAGGATAGCAAAATAATGTTTTCCCAGTTTCAAGGTTAGAAGTGGTTGTGCCCCAATTTTCAGAAACTCTTTTACGTTTTATATTAAACTTGACAATTTGTGTGCAATTTATATATTAAAAAAATGTCAGCTATTGTTGCCCCTTAAATAGGGCTGGCAATGGGTCGGGTCGTGTCGGGTTTGTGTCGTATCGGGATATTAAACGTGTCAAGAATGCTCAATCCGAAACCAACCCATTTAATAACTGTGTCTTGTCGGGTTTGGGTCGTCTTTTATCATGCGGGTTTCGAGTCGTGTAACGGGTTGATAAATAATAACATGCATGTTACACAAGTCACAACTAAAAAAATTTAAATAAAAAAAACAAAGAGAGGAGAGAAAATATAAGGAAAAGAAAGAAAAAAAAAGGATAGAGAGAGGAGAGAGGAGAGAGGAGAGAAGAGAGAAGGAAAACAAAAAAAAATAGAGAGAGGAGAGAAGAAAGAAGGAAAACAAAAAAAAATAGAGAGAGAGAGAGAGAGAGAGAGAGAGAGAGAAGAGAGAAGGAAAGAAATAAAAATAAAAAAGAGAGGAGAGAAAACTAAAGAGAAGGAAAAGAAAGAACAAAAAATAAGAGAGGAGAGAAAACTAAAGAGAAGTAAAAAAAGAGAGGAGAAAAGAGAGAATGAAAAGAAATTTAAAAAAAGAGAAGAGAAGATAGACGAAAAAAAACAAGAAAAAGAAACATTATAAATATCAAAAGGCATAGTATATAATCAAAAAGTTGTATCTAGAATGGTGGATAAGGTGTTGGAGAGTAATGAGGATGGAGGGGGTTCGAAATCCCATATGTGTGTTTTGAAATCTCTATTTCCCTATATTTTTTCGCGGGTTGGCGTGTCTTACACGGGTTGACACGACCCGTTTAATAAACGGGTTACACATGTATTTTAATGGGTTGGCGGGTTGACCCAAAACCCACCCGTTTAATAAATGGGTCAAAACAGGTTGACCCGAAAATTACCCAATTATTAATCTTGTGGGTTCGAGTCGTGTTTTTTTCCGTGCGGGTTTCGAGTCGTGTAACGGGTCGTGTAGGAAATTGCCACTCCTACCCTTAAATATATAGGCTCTAGTTCCGCCATTGCTTCTTCAATAGTCACGTTCTCAAGTAATCATTGCACTATCCCGTTAATTTTCTTACACCAGAGATTGTGGTTTATAATTGAAAGTAAATTAAATCGGGACACTAAATGGCATAGTTAGAGCTATAAACATATATAATATTATGAAAGTACAGAAGATACAAGTAAAAATTCAAATCTCGAGTAACATGTGCTAGGGTTACATTATATATATCCGATACTTGATGAGAATGTCTCACTGCGAAATATCATGAATTCAGAATCGGATCAAGACAATGTATAGGAGCAACAAGGCTCTTATTCACGGCAATAAGAGGACTCTAATATATATGCATATATGTGTAGGCTGTAGCTTCAGTTATGTTTGACCCGCAGGTGATCTAAGCAAGGTTTCTTGAGGCCAGCAGGGCTTGCTTGAAGCTCCATGAATTTCTCATATGTCATTCCAATGTATTTTGGGGCTTGGCCTTCTCTCTCTAACAACTCTGGGATTGGTAAAGCTGGTGTGTCCAGTGAGGGTCCATGGGGCACAGCTATTGATATCCTTGTAGCTTTGTTGTTCACAACAGCCCTATGCCATATACTCTTGTACTTGTCGTTTGTCAAAATCTGCCACAAAAAATTAACCTTGCGCATAAATAATGGGTACCATTAATTTATGAAAATAAGTAGAGAATTATTAGATTGTAATTCTTAGATAAGATGGGTTTTGGATTAAAAAAAGTTGGGTGTTATTTTGGTACCTGCATTTGGTCACCAATGTTAACAACAAAAGCTCCGGGAGCAGCATTCACCAACACCCATTGGTCTTTGTGCTTGACTTCAAGGCCACCCATCTCATTCTGAATGAGGAGGGTCACCAGTCCATGATCGGTATGAGGAGGTAGACCGATGGCTTTATCGGGCTGTGGGCACGCCGGGTAGTAATTTGCGGCCAGAATTTGTAAGCCACGGTCCCAGTTCATGGCCTTTGCTATGTAGTCAGCCTCCAACCCTAAGCTCTCTGATATTCCCTTCAATATTTCTGTGGCTACTTCTCGGGTTCGTTTGCTGAACTCCAGTGAAACCTCGCTGTATCCAGCAGGTTTGTAGAGTGAGTTGAACTCAGGGTGGGCTATGACCTTGAGGAAATCCCTCCAGAGATGAACTTTTTCAATGTCGACGTTGAAGCTGGTGCCGCACTTGATTGGATCCAACAGGTTCCTTGTTTGGAACTCCTTCTTCTCCTCCTCCGGCAGATCAAAGAATCTATGACACGCGTCGATCATTGATTGCATCAGATTCTCTGGTACACCGTGGTTGGTCACCTAATAATTCCCATATATATAATTTATGCTTAATTAGCTTTCATCATGAGAGTTGTAGATACAGTTTGACAAATACTTTGTTGATATTATAAGGTAAACATAAGTATTTGTCTAACAACATAAGTCCTGTTACTATAAACAAATTAAGGTACATACCTGGAAGAAGCCCCATTCCTCGCAAGCTCTGCGCAGCTCCTGGATCACTTTTGCTCGTTGATCAGGAGATCCCGACGTGAGAAG